CTTTGATGGCACAACCCCCGTGTTAGAATGGATCTTTAAGGCGGAGAAATTTTTCAATTATCATCGTACTCATGACCACGAAAGAGTAGAGATAGCTTCAATGCATTTTGAGAAAGATGTAATTCCGTGGTTTCAAATGTTGCAATGCATGTCAGTTGTTCAGACGTGGTCAGATTTGACGAGAGCCTTGGAAAGTCATTTTGGACCATCTCCCTTCGACTCTCCAATGGCAGAACTCTTTAAGCTCCATCAGTCTGGTACTGTTTCCGAATATTATTTGAAATTTATGGCACTAGTAAAAGGATCTGAAGGTCTTAGTGATGTCGCTGTGTTGAATTGTTTTTTAAGTGGCTTAAATCGGGATATCAGAAAGGATGTTGTGGCTTAATGTCCTATTGACCTACTGAGAGTAGTGGCATTAGCTAGATTATATGAAGAAAAGTATACTACTGTTGTTCCACAACGTTCTACAAATTACAATCAGAGATATTCCCCACTTTCATATACCAGTACCAATTTTAATCCAGCAAAAACTACACCTAAACAATCATTACCTCCGCTTCTACCCACACCTTCAATTCCACCAATCAGAAATTCAAATGTCAAGAAAATTACACCGGTTGAGATGCAACTAAGGAGAGAAAAAGGTTTATGCTATTTCTGCGAGGAGAAATTCACATTTAATCATCGATGTCCTAACAGACAATTATTAATGTTACAAGCTGATGAAGAGGAATCTGAAATAGTGACTACTACTGAAAATGGGAATGTTATCGATCCTGCAACTGCTGAAGAAGGATTAGAAGCTAATTCTCACTTGTCCTTTAATGCTTTAACATGAGGCTTAGGAGTTGACACCATTCGTTTTACTGCACATATTAATACTCTACCAGTCACAATATTAGTAGATGGAGACAGCTCCGATAATTTTTTGCAACCAAGGATTGCTAAGTTTTTTAAGTTGGCAATAGAACCAATTCCTCTATTCAAAGTTATGGTGGGAAATGGAAATTACATGACTGTTGAAGGCATGATTAAAAAACTCAATATTCAAGCTCAAGGGGCTAAATTTGAATTGCCTGTATTTTTATTACCTATTTCAGGAGCTAATTTGATCTTGGGGGCCAAATGGTTAAAAACTATAGGGTCTCACATTGTTGATTATGATTCATTGCAATTGAAGTTCTTCCATGAGGGAAAATTTATAACTCTACAAGGGGAAATTGATTCCTCCCCTACTCAGGCCCATTTACATCACATCAGAAGAATGGTTAACACGGATTCTATAGCTGAGGTTTTCAGTATGTAGATTGTTGGTGAAAGTGCTTATCAGTTTCCACTAACTGAAGTACCTCCTGATATAGAGCCAGAATTGGCTTTGTTGTTACATAATTACAGTTCAGTTTTCGAGACACCCACCTCTTTACCACCCCCTCGATTTCAGGATCATTCAATTCCTTTGATGAAAGGATCTCAACCGGTAAAAGTGAAGCCGTATCGGTACCCACATAGTCAAAAAGCAGAAATTGAAAAGTTGGTGCAAGGAATGCTTGATGAAGGCATAATACAACCCAGTAAGAGTCCTTTTTCTTCTCCAATCATTCTAGTAAAGAAAAAGGATGGATCATGGAGGGTATGTACTGACTATAGAGCCCTTAATGCTATTACCATTAAAGATACATTTCCTATTCCTACTGTTGATGAACTTATTGATGAGTTATTTGGAGCCAATTTCTTTTCTAAATTAGATTTAAGATCTGGTTACCACCAAATACTGTTGAAGCCTGAAGATAGACATAAAACTGCTTTCAGAACTCACCATGGACACTATGAATGGCTTGTAATGCCATTTGGGTTAACTAATGCACCGGCTTCCTTCCAAAGTTTAATGAATGAGATTTTCAAAAAGTATTTGAGGAAATTTGTAATAGTATTTTTTGATGATATTTTGGTGTTTAGTGCCACGTGGAAGGATCATTTGTTTCATTTGGAATTAGTCTTGCAGACCTTACAGCAGCAGCAATTATATGCAAAACTCTCAAAATGTTAATTTAGAGTAAAGGAAATTGACTATTTAGACATACATTGTCAGGAAAAGGTGTAGCTATGGAAACTTCTAAACTAGAAGCTGTCAAAAAGTGGCCTAGACCTACAACAGTAAAACAGTTGAGAGGTTTTTTAGGCTTCACCGGTTACTACAGGCGATTTATCAAAAGTTATGCTGCAATAGCTGCTCCTTTAACATATTTTCTAAAAAAGGACTCATTCAAGTGGACAGAAAATGCATTTATAGCATTTGAAAAGTTAAAGGATGCTATGACTTCTGCCCCTGTACTAGCCATTCCAAACTTTAAAGAGCAGTTCGTATTGGAAACTGATGCATCTAGATCTGGAATTGGTGTTGTCCTTAGCCAATCTCAACATCCAATTGCTTACTTTTCCAAGAAAATTTCCCCCAGAATGCAGAAACAGTCTGCTTATACAAGAGAATTTCATGCCATCACATAGGCTTTGGCTAAGTTCAGACATTATTTGTCGGGAAACAAGTTCATCATTAGAACAGATCGGAAAAGCTTGAAAGAGTTGCTAGAACAACAGCTTGCAAACTCCCGAACAACAACAAGTGGTTACCTAAGTTTTTAGGATATGACTTCACTATACAATATAAGCCTGGTAGAGAGAATATACCAGCTGATGCTTTATCTCGAAGTTGTTTTCTGGGCTGGTCAGAATCCAAATTTAAATGGTTAGAGCAGATTCCTGAGATGACTATGCAAGATGCTGAGTTAAGTAAGTTGATGATGCAGCATACTCAAGGCATATTGCCTATGGACAAGTTTTTTGTTAAAGATGGAATGCTTTTCAGAAGAGGAAGATTGATGATACCAACTGATAAGGATTTGAAGAACCATATTATATAGGAATTTCATGACTCGAAAGTGGGTGGTCATGCTGGAAATACAAAGACTATAGCCCGAATCTGCAATCAATTTTATTGGCCAAAAATGCAAGATGATATCAAGGCTTATATACGACATTGTAGTATTTGTCAACAAGCTAAAGTGGACCAAGCTTTACCCTATGGTCTATTACAACCATTGCCAATACCTCAACAGATTTGGGAAGACATAGCCATGGATTTCATTACAAATCTTCCCACTTCACATGGTTATTCTACTATTTTGGTAGTCATTGATAGACTCTCTAAGTTTGGGTGTTTTATTGCTTTGAAAGCCCATTTTACCAGTAAAAGTGTAGCAGAAGCTTTTATTAATAATGTGGCAAAGCTGCATGGGTTTCCGAGAACTATTGTATCGGACAGAGATAGAATCTTTATCAGTTCATTTTGGCAGCACTTATTTAAAGTTCAAGGCACAACTTTGGCAATGAGCTCTGCATATCATCCCCAAAGTGACAGACAAACTGAGGTACTTAACAAGACATTGGAAATGTATTTGAGGTGTTATGTGTTTGATAATCCCAAGTTGTGGTACTCTATGCTCCCTTGGGCACAATACTGGTACAACTCTTCCTACCACCACAACATAAGAATGAGCCCCTTTAAAGCTGTATTTGGTAGAGAACCACCCTCGGTCATTCCTTATGAAGTCAATTCCACAGATCTTCCTGCCATTAGAGAGTCTTTAATCACTAGAGACAAAGTGTTGCAACAACTCAAGACCAACTTGATGAAGGCTCAAAATTATATGACAGTACAAACAAATAAGAAAAGGAGAGAATTCCATCTGCAAATTGGTGATTTGGCATTAGTGAAGTTGCAGCCATATAGACAACATTCGGTGGCTCTTAGAAAGAATAAAAAATTAGGCATGCGTTTTTTTTTACCGTTTGAAGTACTGAAGAAGATAGGTCCAGTGGCTTACAAGTTAAAGCTTCCTGATACAGCTCGGATTCACCCTGTTTTCCACATCTCATTGCTCAAAAATTTTATGGGAATACAGTCTAACCAATATTTACCCCTACCTTTGACCACCATTGAGTTTGGACCTATATTGAGTCCAATAACAGTGTTGGATAAAAGAATTATAAAGCGCAATTCCATTAAAGTACAACAGGTGTTGGTACAGTGGCACTCTACGGAACCTGAGGAAGCTACTTGGGAAGATCTGGATGAATTTCAACAAGCTTATCCTCAATTCAACCTTGAGGGCAAGGTTGCTGTTAATGGGAAGGGTATTGTAACAAGCAGAATGAGCACAGAGAATGCAGTGGAATCAATGAGACACGTGGACCAGGATCAGCAAAAGAAGGACACGAGGAAAAGCACTAGGCCACGTAGAGAGAGTGTGTTTTGAAGGGATTTTGATATTGGATAGAAGGAGGCTTTTGGTATGAACCTTCTCTCTGCTATCTGTTTTCTCTCTGCAGAATATTTCATAATTCTCTCTCATTCTCCATTCTGTTACCTGACTCCACTTTTTCTTTGCATCAGGCAGAACCTTCATACACAACAACAACTTTCAATCCTTGATTCTGTTGTGTTTCATTTAATTTTTTTTAAAAACCATAATACAGACTATTGTTATTTGGACTATTGTCGAATCAATACCATATACGGTTCCACTGTTTATTCATTGTTTCAAAATTGTTCTGGATAAGTTTAACCTTATTAGATGTAAAGTAATAAGAGGTTATTGATAAATGATTTTCAACACATTTACTTCTTTTTTTAATATTTTAAGATTCTTGGAACGATTTTTTTTTTTTATAAATCATTATAAAAAATAATAAAAAATGAAAAATAAAATTAACTTCTTCATAAAACGAAAATTTTAATATATAAAAATTTTAAGAATTTGTATAAGAGATTTTTTTGGGTTAACTTATGTACAAAGTAATTTTAAATTGAGGAGGAAGTTTATTTTATTTTATTTTTCTCTTATTTTTCACTCCTATAAGAAACTTAGGGTAAAAGTTTGTGCAAACATGTTTTTAATAGTTCAGTTTCATTTGGAAGGATTTTGCTATCGCTAGCTACTATGGCGACTAATCTTGGTGCAACAAAGTCCACGACGACGTCGACTCAGGATAAACGACACCTCTCCATCTTCGATGTTCCGTCAAACTTCTTCGACGCTGCTCGCCTTATCCCTCCCCCTCACTCTTCCGTTTCCGATCACCACAGTGTAGGCCAATCCCAAACCCTTGAACCCTCCTCAAATGACGTCGTAACTGTCGATGATTCTCACAACGCTGATTCCGCACCTAGGTTGACCTGCAATACCTGCAGGACTCTATTCGATTCCCTCCAAGACCAGCGTGCTCATTTCAAATCCGACATTCATCGCTTCAACGTAAGATTCAATCAATCCAGAGTAGTCCCTTTTCAGCGAATTTTTGTAAAATTAAGAATGGGTTAAAAAGAGAATTTAATTATAGTGCAATATATTGTAAAATTATTAGCTTGTATGGTAAATTTGTTGAGGTTCGTCGTAACTACTAAGAATTGTTATAGATTGATTTCTAAGTATTTGAGAATGTAGAATCCTTTATAGTGATAATGCATGAAAATTAGACTATTAAAAAAGAAAATTTTGAAATCACAATTTTTGTTTTATCCTTATTTTTTAAAAACAAAAAACTTTCAGAGTAGTCCTCTTTTCGCCCATACTAGGTCAAGTTTAAAATACCCAATTTGCTTTGAAGAGCTAAATTTTTTTTAGAAGCTTGATGTGCTACTGTGTAAGTTAGCAATGGTAACACAATGACAATGTGCGTTGTGGTTTGGGGATATGAGAGTGGTTCTCGTTAATGATCACGGGATTGTATTGATTATAGGTGAAGCTGACAATTGCGGGAAAAAATATTGTGAAGGAAGAAGATTTTGAGGTGCTGACATCTGAATTTGTCAAAGACTATGATGTGTCAAGTATATCGGGATCAGAAAGTGATGATAGTGAAACTGAGTCTCAGAGTCAAATTGTGCTGCATGACAAGTCGAGTGATAAACAGAAACTATTCTTCCGTCTTCAGACAGGGCAGAGAGTTTCTGTCTGGAAGTGCTTGATTATGAATGTGACTGAAAATGTATTGTATGATAATGAAAATGCAAAGAATGAAGCTGTTCAGAAGTTGAAATCTCTGACTGCTGAGCCCAGAGACAATACCCATTTGAGGATAGTTCTACTTGCATCTGGTGGACATTTTGCAGGTTGTGTCTTTGATGGTGATGCTGTTGTGGCTCACAAGACATTTCACAGGTTACAATATGATTCTTGCTAGCTGACAAAATAAATTTGTTATAGTATTTCTTAGTATTGTTCAATAAAAGATGAATATGATTGTAGTTTCATTTAGGCAGATTGTCTGGAGGGAGAATAGCGATATATGCATAATGCATTCACCACTCAACCGTGTACAAAGACTTATATTAGAATTTCAATGAAGCATGTATATTTATCAATTATTGTCCTATTGGGGGTCTAGTCTGTTGATAGTATTGTGTGAGGACATGCAGTGAATTTTGCCTGTTCGCCCACAATTGATTTTGTTTTACCTGGATGAGTCAAGCATGAGCATTAACCATCAAGCCTCAAGCTACTGTTGACTCTGCAGCTGAGCCCTTCTAGCATATTCTAGACAACATCGCATGAGTATAGACATACTAAAATACACTTGTGGTTTTCTTTTTCAGCATAAGTCATTTGTTTGTTAAGTGAGTTTTACACCATTTAATGCTCAATTATGGATTTATGCCGATGACTTTTTTATCGCTTTTAGAGTAAGAACTAGTTCATAATTTGAAACGCATCACCCTTTTGCATCTTTCCTTCCTGAGAATATGTATTATGTTGTTGACAACACCTTTCATATTGGCATCCCTTTTCTCCATTGAGACCATAAATTCCATACAACATTGAATGGATTTTACTGATTCAGTTATTCTTGTTTTTTCTATTTATTATTATGAGGAATAGACAAACAAGTGGTTTACAATAAGTTCCATCTGAATGGAAATGTATGCTTTCTTGTAGTCTGTTTAACTTATTTTTGGCAGGAATGTATGAAATGTCGCATTGTTTGATTAATATTTTCAGCAGTTATTTTTATTTCCTTTCCTTTGTTTTATTTCCATGGCAGTAAAGCATACATTGTAATTCCAAATGGTTGACCCATACCCATTCACTATTTTCTTATCCATTTTTATGATTACTAGTTCTATTTGCTGAAAGTTGTAATTGAAGGTTTAAATTTTGTTTTTATTCTTAAGCTCTTATCATTCTCATACAGATATGTTGTAAGGGCCAAGGCAGGGAAAAAACAATCATCTAAAGATGCGTCTGGCAGGGCTGTACATTCTGCCGGGGCTTCACTTCGTCGATATAATGAACTTGCATTAAAGAAGGTGTTTAAATCAAAGCTATATTGTTTTACTTGCCAACTTTTTATTTACATGTTAGTCAATTGCTGTTATGCATTTTTCTATTCTAAAATCAATTGCTATTTTTCTTAATTCATTTCAAAGCGTTAGAAGTGGGAATTTTAAATTATAACTACTTGAAATTAGTCTGGGTGGGACATCTAGTAATGTATTTTTAGAAAATTAATGCTTCATTATAAATTTATTTGGTTGAGGGAAATATAATTTGTTTTATTTTTGTTTGTTGAGAAAATATATCAGATGTTTTAAGGAAGCATTTGATAGAAGGAAACCTTTTTCATACCCAGCGGGGATCATGATTCCTATGAATCATGAATCTTGGGAATTACAATTTGTAGGAAAGACTATAAATTGTGTTTGAGTGGCCAAAAATATTGCTGGGAATATTTATATAAGATTTTTAGAAAACGAAGTGTAATATGTTATTTTTACTACAATCTTTAATTCATTACCACGTTAAATGATTTAATAAGAGTGGCATATTTTTTATAAAAAAAAATTATTTTCAGTTGGGAAAGTTAGGGTCCCACCTCCCCCATGTGAATGTTTTTCTTGGGAAGTTGACCAAAAATCATTACCGGGAAACAATTTTTTTTTGGGAATGTTAGTTTTTCAAAAGTAAACCAAACATGGGAAACATACTTTTCCAATTACAGATTCCTGGAGACCTAAAAATTTCCCCTTTACCAAACACTCTCTAATTATATGAAAAATTCTTCTCCTTAAACACAGACTGCCTTCTCTCAATTATTTATGGTAACAGCTACAAAACCTGGTTTGTCAAAATTTTTAGAACCCATAATATCATCTGTGATTACATTGGGTCTGTTTGGTTTGACAAAACATTTTATGCATTAAAAAATAATTACAAAATATATCACCTAGTTTCCACTTTTCTACAGAAAATAGTGAAAGCAACAAAAACTTGTTTTCATCTTTTTCCATATGAATCTTTGAAAATAGGAAATGCAATAAAAACGAGTATACATTTTTTCAATGAATTATGAAAGAAGGAAAGAAGAATAGCAAACATTTTTTTAAAATCATGTGCATCCTTATAATTGGTCATGCAATTTGACAAATTGACTGTTACAATGATTCCTCTTCTAATTTTACTTACAGTTCATTTTCAAACACTCATGGAGATGCAGCAAAAGCTTTCATACTTATAACTTTCTTTGTTTGTGTGTGGATGCACCCTTGATTTTTAAATCTGGACTGATTATTGGCATGCCAATATTTTAGGAAGTGCATGAACTGCTTACTGCTTGGAAACCTTATTTTGATGCTTCCAATTGCATATTTATACATGCACCTTCAAGTAGTCGTCAACTGCTTTATGATGGAGAAAGATCATATTTCGGCAATTCGCAGTGTGATATTAGAAACATTGCTTTGAGTGTTCGGAGGCCTACTTTCAGGGAAGCAAAGCGTGTATATAGCCAGTTGACTCACGTAACCTATGAAGCTGATGAGAAGGAAATTTTACAAAGCAACCAAGAGGATTTGGTATCAGTTAACATTTCTAAAATAAACGGCAGTCCAACCTCCAGCAAAGGGAACAGGGCTGAGTTGGATGACAAAGATAAATCTGAAGCTTGTTCAGGTAAACAAAATGATGAACTCTCCATTTCAAGTAATGGAGAAAGTGAGAATGAGTTATCTGGTAAATCAACTCCTTTACATGAAGCAGCCCAATCGGGTGACTTTGTAAAGGTTTTGGAGCTCCTGGAACAGGGCCTAGATCCTTGCTCCAAAGATGAAAGGGGGCGGACCCCATATATGTTGGCACATGACAAAGAAGTGAGGAATACTTTCAGAAGGTTTATGGCATCAAATCTTGACAAATGGGATTGGCATGCTGCAAAAGTGCCCAGTGCATTGACCAAAGAAATGGAAGAATCACAAGCTGCCAAGCAGGTGATTCTGCTACTAGTTAAAATAAGTTTTGAATTCTGATTTAAAAACAAAATTACATTTTTGTATAATTTACTCTGTTTTCTCTATGATCTTAAAGTAATGATTACCTCTTTTTATTAGTGCAGGCGGAAAAAGATGCTAAGAGGAAAGCAAGAGCAAAAGAATTAAAGAAATTGCGTAAAGCAAAAGAAAAGAAGGCTCAGGTACATCTTAATCGGTTTCAATCTCATGTTTTATGATGACCTCATTTTTTGGGACCTGTTTCTGAAAGCATTTCACCTTGGTTTATAAAATGTTATTTAATTGATAGTTTCATTTCATATACTGAAATCATTGTGATTTCATTTTATTAGTGTTTACCCTAAAGATTTTAGAGACATCTTAGTAGTGTTGATACAGTGGTTTAGATTGAAAATTATACGTGCTTATTTGATTAAGATTCCTCTGCTTGCCTTTCCACCTTTGACACCGCAATGCAATTAGCTTGTGTCGTGATGATTGAGTATTTGGCAAGTGTGCATGAAAAAATGAACTTTCTGTGAATTATGAAAATGAGAAGGAAAGTGGTACATAGTTCACCAATTTTTGAGTTCTATGGTTGTGCTTTATTCTATTGTTCGTCGTTTCAGTGGTAGGCCGATAACACAGTCAGTTCCACATTTTTTTCTGAAGAATTTTCATTCAGAAGCTTTGATTTTCCATATTTTGCATTTACAATCATACACACATACTCGCACTTTTACTTGTTATTCGTCATTCTTGTTGTAAAAAAATATTATTCTGAGGAATCTTGAACGTGGTGTTCTTCAGGTTGAAGCCAGCTTGCCTAAAAATGATTCCAAAACTATAGAGAAGCAAGTAACTTCTTCAACATCGATTAAGGGACAATCTCAACTAAAAAGTGGCGTGCAAGTATCCAAAGAGGTTAGATACTTAATTTAATGATATTTTATAGCTGAAAATCTTAAAAGACTGTGTCTTTGGTAACTTTAATGATGTGTTGAAATCATGTTACACATTTATGAGATTATGCAACCCTTCTAGCTAAATAATTTCCAGATAAACAGGCTGTTTAATATTTTTAATTTTTGAAAACAGGACCAAATAAGAATGGCACAGGCTGCTGAAAGAGAAAAGCGAGCAGCTGCTGCTGAAAGGAGAATAGCTGCCCTCAAAATTCAAGCTAACAGTGCAACCACTGCACCTAGCATGTCAGAGCCTAAAATTGGATTGGCCGGTGACATTTACTGTTCCTGCTGTAATTCATCACTTGCTGGTAAAGTTCCCTTCCACCGGTATAATTACAAATACTGCAGCACATCATGCATGCATGTACACAAGGAGATCCTAGATGATCAATGACAATGGGGTTAGATGTTTAAAATTTTCTTTTTGCAAGTCAAGATTGCTCGGAATATCCATTGTCCGTGATTTGGTTGTAAGTTATCTTGGTTGGAGAAAGGGAAATAAATGAGGAGGGGTGGGGAGCAGCTGTGGTGGAAGGACTGAATGATGAATAACACGAGCTGGTGATTTCAAAGGAACAATTTTTTTATAAGCAATATTGGTACAGCTAGAGTCATAACAGTTATCTTAGAGCACTCCCACACTGTGCCGTGCCAAGCATGAACACAGCAAATGGTCAAGTGGACACTTGAATGTTTGACATCGGACCTGTATTATTTGATTTTCTTTTTCCCTATGTGGGTTTTTGTTGGAAGTCTAGTCTCTCTGACTCTATTTTATCAGGCATGACATGAATTACCTGTTTTTGAATTAATGAGATCAGAAAGGTAGGTAAATTAGTTAAGGACTTGAGCTGTATAATATACCCTTGCCATTGATGGTTGATATATAGCAATGCTTCACACTTTAAAATCTAAACACTAAAAAAATTATTTGCTATAGTATAGTATTATTATACCAATTGTAAAATAACAACTATAATTTGTAACTTGAAACTGTTTAAATGTACAATAATTAATGCTGCGTCCACACACATACATGGCATGTCGCATTTCTTTGTTTTCATTTTCTGATTATAGTTAGTCTCACCTCTTTTTACACCTTCGTCTTGATACTGCCTCCTCACAATTGTGAAGTGATGTGCACGGTGTTGTGTTCCCCGAAGCTTTTACTCTTTTAACTAGTTGAATTCTTAAATTTACTTTCTGTGATATGCTGGCAATGCAAAAGAAAAATATCTGACACAGTATACAATATCAGGCTCAAGTGATAGTCTGATGTCATGTTTGACTCTTTTTTCACCATTTGATCTCCATGAGGTTTTTTAGCCGTGCGAAAGTGGATAGAATGTCTCTCCCTCCCTGCACATATTTTAGCATTGCTTACAAAAGTGTGTTCAAGTTGATTACTTGTGTTGCTATGTCACTTCATAAACTTAAAACAAATTCATCATGTCGCATCAACTACTTTGATTCATAATTTGTGGCACAATGAAAAAACTATCTGCTGTAACTTGCGCATATTTTAGTCTAGTTGACCAGTTCTTATGTCCAATTTAATATATTTTTGTTATTATCATCAGCGACGTAATAATTATGAGGACAAAATTCCAGATTGATCACCCTCGGACAAAGATTTCTCTGCTTTTCTAATTCAAAAGATCATAGTGACGAGGTCAATTTTCAAGATTCATTTCTATTTGTGGATTGCCACACTGATTTTTATTGCAATTTTGAAATAAGGTAGTTCATTGACTAATAGGGCCATACGTCAATTCATGTATTTATTTCAACGCGATATATGAGGATTAAATAAAAAAAGATATGCTAGCGTAAAGATCTGTTTCATACAGAGTATTTTCCAGATTAGAATTACATTCACTCACTAGTGAGAAATGAAAATCTGAAAAATTGATCATAACATTATTTAGGTGTAGAGATTAATTTATTAAAACGTCTTTTCAAAACAAAATTTCAATATTAACTAATACCAAAGCGAGCAATACTCTAAATATTCATGTCATTATTAAGTGCATGAAGTGTTGACAATTTTGATTACTGAGCTTACAGTATAAATCTGTATCTATAGCATACTCAAATCAAGATCATAGGCGCATATCATCTCTTAAGATTGTCCAAATTCAAATCTTAGAAATTTAAGCAAACAATTTATAAATTTCAACATCTATCCGTAATTTGAAGATGCATATATATTCTGTCGGATAACAGTTGGAAGAAGAACGATTTTAGATCTTGTAGAGTGATCTAGTCACTAAAAAAATTAGTGATAGTAAAATCCTACTTAGATATTAAATAACTTGATTCATTGCCGGCTTCGAAGCTTAGAATTCTCTACTATCATCTCTGTTTTGGCATTTTCCAATGTCAACAAAGATCCTCTACTGTTATCACTATTTTCTTACGTTTTCCTAACTTCTTTGCCATTCAGTGATTGGGTTGCAAGTTGTAAGGTATACTTTGTTATTTCATAAAGTCCATGTGTTACCAAATTAACTTGTATGAATAATTTTTTCATGGACAATTTGGTTTATTAGATGATGCTCAATTGAAGACAAGAATCATAAACTTTAACATCATATGATACTCCTACATATTTTCTTGATTCGAGATCTTTGTGTTCACTTTAAATATTGGCATGCATATAATTTCATGATAAATGAATCTGCACGTTACTCATAGCCAAATAGAAAAATTAACATTTGAAGATAATTTAAACAGAAACATGAGACAAGAGAAAATGGATGAGTAGAGAAAGTGCAAAATAGATCCCAGTGAAATAGAGAATGGTAGAGAAATAAGTAAAAGTTTGAGAAATAGAGAGGCCTAAGATCCAAGTTAATTTAATTTTCATAGAAAGGTATTTACTAACTCACTTCACAATATTTCAATACACTCATAACCCATTCAAAACACATATTGTGAGAAGAATATGAATTGTCACATAATACCACAAAATTTGAGTTGAGGTCTAAAACTAATTAAAAGTTAAATCTTATAAGTCATGGTAATTATAAAAAGTAATTCAATACACCCTTTAACCATTAACAAAACCTTATAAATAGAAGTCAAGAAACTTTTAATTTCATGCCTTAACACATACACATCATATAGAACATATGACTATGGCAGATCCCTCTTACTGGAGAGCCACCTTCTATATTCACCAGCAAACCTTCAACCTAACAACTCCTCTCTCACTTACATGCATCCTTGCTCACAATTCCTTCACCAAAAAACGCCACAAAATCTATGCATTTACACTTCCAACACTCTTGTGCTTCCTCCAAGTTCAAACTTCAGGTTCCTCAACTTCCCCTTTCCAAGTGCACCCTTTGACCATAAAAGCTTGTATGTGTGGCATATTAGGGTACTACATGAGCTTCAGGGCATGGCTGTTTTTACCCGCATATGCTACTCAGTTAAGCATTGCCATGAAAGCTTTTGGTTCGTTTTCCTTGGCTTCTTTGGTGTCAATTCTTTTTTCTGACTCGTGGTGGCACTTCAAATGCATGTTTTATGTCTTACTTGTGGTGCTTGAGTTGCATGAAACAATGATGGTCACAATGTTGTTGCACGAGAAATATTATGTGAAGAGATTAACGTTGCTATGGAGATCATGGAGCCGGAACTCTGTACAACAGGGTTTGCCACTTACACACATGGATTTGATAGACTATAATGTGTAAGAATGTGGATGAAAGAATATTCAGAAGCCACTCTTTCTTCACATGTTATAATGTTTAGTTGTGTTCGAAATTCAGTAACTTCTAATTAAATTAAAATTTGTTATCCATTGTGTACTTATTCTTTGAGTTATCGTAATTTTTTTTTTTTTAATTTACAACTTCAATTTATACTTTGAATACATCACAAAATCTATGTAAGATGAGGTGGTTGATTAGGGATTATTTTATGCATTTCATCGTTCATTTAAACATTCCTAAACTTTTTTTCAAAAAAATTCTAAATAACTCAAATTTCCATTAAAATAAAATAGATTATACTATAAAATAAAAAAAATTACGCGTGTGAGCCCATAGTCTAATGGGCTTAGCCCATGAAGGCTCAACCTTTTACACCTCTAATGTCAGAGTAAAATGCAAAGCTTGCAAGGCATGATTGTTACTCTTCACTTCAAGCTTTTCACACTTCCCAGTGGCGAAGAAGACAAAGAAATTCAATTCAATTCAGGTAGTAGCAACTAATTAGGGTTTCGAAGTAGCCATGGAAGAGGCGAAATTGAAAACGCCAGCGTCAAGAGGCCACATTGGCACCGACCAGTGTTCGCAGAGTTTGAGCCCTCGAGCGCGCATTGTCTCCGTTGCCTCCAACATCGCCTCACAGACTCTTCACAACTCCGATCCTCGCGTTTGGGGTGTTCTCACTGCCATCTCTAACAATGCCCGCAAAAGGCACCAGGTTTCCCCATTTCCCCTTCTTTTCTTTCCTTTTGTCTTTTTCCAAAAATTTATGATGTACGAGCCTGTAGTGTTGTGTTGTTTTTTCTGTAATTTAACTTATTATTGAATATGAATGCTTAGTTTTCTTCATAACAATATGTTATTGGTTTAAAGTAGTTACCGATTTTCTGATAAATATTACTTTGGGGAAAGTAGTTGATCAGCTTCTTCTGTCCCAATCATGTTTTTTTTTTTTCATCTACAAGTTTTCCACACCAATTTTTTAAAAAAGAAATTCAAACACAGTTTGACTGGACCAACCGCTTGTAATCTAGAGTTTCCGCACTTGTGGGAATAAGCGACTAATAATTTGTCAATAGTTTTTGTTTTGTTTAAACATAATGGACAAGTATTTGTTTATATTTCAATTATGATGGACGAATGGATTAATTAATATTTGTTGCTGTGTAATGGAGTAGTAGTTTCATGGACACAATGCCTATGCTCAGAACCAAGCAAAACTTTAGTATGCATATTTTAGGAAAACAATGGTGAAGTAGCTTTAAGGGTTTTATATTGTTATTGTATGTGAGAAAAATGCACATGCAAGAGTTGCTTTTGGATGCCATTACCTTCCCTAAAAGAAAGGGACTGGGAAAAACCCATCTTAAATGAAAAGACTGAATTGTAGGTTAACTTTTGGTAATTAAATGTCATTATGTTATAGGTGGTTATTAATCAAAGAGAAATAATAAATTAGTTATTAGAATATAAGAGTTAGTTAAGAAATAAGAGTTATAAATAGGACCTAATGTAATCCGAAAGGTATTATTATGAATATACAATTTTATTATTGTGTGTCCTCTTCTATTCTCGTGTGAGATTGAGAGAGTGAGTAGTGTTAGAGGATAATTTCAATATACCTTTAACACATTATATACCCTTTTATTTAATGATTTATGATTTTAGAACGTAGAATGGTTGCATTAGTTTAATTTTGGTTATTATAATGAAGGTGAGGTTAATATGTTGTTGACTTGACTTGGTTATTTGATAACCATAGTATTGAGGAATTGACCCTATTGTTCGTTATTTTTGGGTAAATGTAATCTTCATTGAATCCTTTAAGGGGTTTGGTTGCGTACACCGCATTGAAAACAGTGTAAAGGGACGTGGTGAAAAAGATCAAACAAAGGTTATCAGTAAGAAATTTTTGTTTGTTTAAACTAAGAGCTGTCTGTTGATATCCTCTATATTGTCAATTTTAGTGGAAATTGTGTTGCTCCTGTATGAGGGTGAGTGTTGGCACAATGGTAAGGTTGCTGCCTTGTGACTTAGAGGTCATTGGTGGACAAATCATTGAAATAATTTCTCTACACGCAGGAGTCAGGTTGTGCATATCTTCCCACTCCATATGACCAGTTCCCACTAGATATGGTTGCGCTTGGTTGCTCCCATATAATAGTCAACTAAAAATCTACTACTTATTATCTCAACTACTAGCTAAGGAAAATATTGATAGGCAATTAGGCACAAATCAATTAAATGTATTAGTGGTATTTCACTTTAAGTAAATGACCCAGACCCACAAATGTCCATGATTTCAAATTTATAAACATCTAGTCAAATTGTGTTGGCACTTTGTGTCTTCAATTTTTTTGGTTTAACTATCCTTTGCACGTCTAATGCTTTTATTAAATGGTTGCAACCAGGGAATTAACATTATATTAAATGCTGATGAACACTGCTTTGGGCGATTGGTAGAGGATGTGCGTTGCCAGATTGATTCCAATTCTGTTAGTGCAAATCATTGCCGAATATACAGGATGAAGGTTACTAATGAAAATATGGAGAATGCCACATCAATACTCTTGAAAGATACAAGGTTGGGAATTCTTTGTAAAACTTGAGGTCCTCCCATCTTTCCTATTTAGTAGGAATTAGAGAGTTTTTCCATTTTATCTTCATATTTTAATTTTTGTAAAACTTTATTCAGCACAAATGGAACTTACCTTAACTGGGAGAAATTGAAAAAGAATGGTGCTGCTGTGAAAGTCTGCCATGGTGATATTATATCATTTGCTGCTCCTCCGCAGCATGGTATGGTAATTTGAATTCCCTACAAGGGCTCACTATTTCAATTATTTATCCCTATTTCTCCTTTTATCATTGTAGTTGCAGAACATGTTTTTTACTGGTCAATGCTATGGTTCTGATATCTGTTTCCCATTATCTGTTCTTTTCACTTCCTTTAACAGCAAAAAAAGTGTATAAAAAATTTACAAAATATTCGAGTAAATATATGTTTTAATGCTATTTGGTGGCAAATTGTCATTGGAATAGCTAATGTTGTTCTTTTTAGTTATCTTTTTTTTATCATTTCAATTTGTGTTTATAAAAATAAATAAAATAGAACATTGTCCTGTATAAAGATTTTTATTAAGTATAACTACAACTTCTGTTGTTTCTTTTGCTTTTGAACCTTTATTGAATGTTGGACAATTATTATAATTATTTGTAATAAAATTGAGAAATTGCTGCTTTTGTGAGTATTGCATTCTGTATTTTGTTCTATTTCAAATTACTATAGTTTGATCTTATCTTGCAGATATGGCATTTGCTTTTGTATACCGAGACGTGCTTATGTCTAGCCCTATGCCAGATAATGCAGTTGTCAAACGAAAAGCAGGTATTGTAATGATGATCATTGGCTCATACATTTACCCTTTTTAGTCATTCTTGCATTCTACTCTGATTTATGTGTAAGTGGAATCAAGCTTCTACATTTATGATGATTTGAAGTTTAACGCGTGTGCTGACATTCATAATTTCCCTTGCATATGGTTGTGACTCTTTGCAAATTACATCATATTTTATTGATCATTAAGATATATAATATATTTATCTGATATTTACTTTTATTTCACTTTCTAATACTTTTTGCTTTTGTTCTTTCTTCCATCCTCTTTTCTTTAATCTGTAGAGGATTTTCTTTCTGAAAATAAGAGGTTGAAAGGTTTAGGCATCGGTGCTCCTGAGGGTCCCATATCTCTTGATGATTTTCGGAGTCTTCAAAGATCAAACATGGTATGTTAACTTAGAAGGATTGCATACTAATGAGTATTCTGAACTTTTTTTCTTTAATTTTATACAATCTTCTTGACAGGAATTGAGAAAGCAATTGGAGAATCAGGTGGTTACAATTGATACTTTGCGTAGTGACAACCGTGCAGCTGTTGAACGCCATGAAAGTGTATGTAATCATTGTTGAACTCATAGGGATAACACCTAAATGAAGCTCTGGTTCCCCTAAAAATGTTTTTAACTTAATCCTTAATTTTAGAAATAATGTAAAAAGGGCAGTTTATGTTATATAATTATTATAATTTGAGCTACTGATAATTATCCTTGTATTCTTGTTCCTTTGTCCGTCAAACACACAGTATATCACACTCTTATTTTCTCTCTTGCTACCTGAGTCTAGCACTTCTGTTGTTGTGTTTTCCCAGCCTCCATCTACATTTGTATGGTTGCTTTGTCTGTTCTAACCATAGTTGTCAATCTCATATATATATATATATATATATATATATATATATATATATATATATATATATGTATGTATGTATATATATATATATATATATGTGTGTGTGTGTGTGTATATATATATATATATATATGTATATATATATATATATATATATATATATGTATGAATGTATATATATATATATATATATATGTTGAATATAGAGAAAATAGAGTTTGAGATTAATCTCCCTTGTCACACATAGGATAATCTATTTATAATAGAGAGGTACAACTAAAAGAGTAACCAAAAGTAAACAAAATAAACAGAAAATATTGTTTGATATTATGGTTAACAATATTTTAACAATATCAAACAATATCTAACACTCTCCCTCAAGCTGGAGTATACAAATCGTATGTGCCAAACTTGTTAGAAATATAATCAATTCTAAGCTCCCGTAAAGACTTAGTGAAAATATCTGCTAACTGATCACTTGAGTTAACAAACTCAGTCATGATGTCTCTAGACATAATCTTTTTTCGAATGAAATGACAGTCCTTTAATGAAAGACAAATTTAGAATTAATATGAAGAGCAACTTGATTGTCACACACAAGTGTCATCTCCAACTTGTAACTCTCTAAGCAATTGCTTAAGCCAAACAAGTTCACAGGCAGCTGAGGCCATAGCTCTATATTCTGCTTCTACACTGGATCTTGCCACAACACTTTGTTTCTTACTTTTCCATGAGATCAAGTTACCACCAATGGAGACACAATATCCAGATGTAGATGTTCTATCTGAAGGAGATCCTGCCCAATCAACATCTGAGTAACAAACAACTCTTGTATGGTTATTAGAACCATATAACAATCCTTTTCTAGGAGATCCTTTAATATACTTCTAGATACGAATGATTGCATTTCAATGATCTTCACATGGTGAATTAAGAAATTGGCTTACCACATTGACTGCAAAGGAAATGTTAGGACGAGTAATTGTGAGATAATTCAATTTTCCAACCAATCTTTTATACTACTCAGGATCAAGTATAGGCTCCCCTTGATTTGGTAGAAGTTTTGTATTGGGATCCATGGGTGTATCAATAGACTTTGAACTCATCAACCTAGTTTCTTCCAAAATATGCATTGCATACTTCCTCTAAGATATAATAATACCATCATTGGACTATGCCACCTCAATACCTAAGAAATATCTAAGTTTTCCAAGATGGTCTGAAAATGGTGACAGAGATGTTGTTTCAACTGAGAGATGTCATAGTTGTCACTAATTGTAAGAACGATGTCATCAACATATACTATCAAGTAAACACATCCAGCACTCGAGTGTTGATAAAAGACAGAATGATCTGTTTCACACTGAGTCATACCAAATTGTTGAACAACCTTGCTAAACTTTCAAAACCAGGTCCTAGGGGACTGTTTTAGGCGATATAAGGATTTGCGAAGACGACATACCATCCCAAAAGACTCCCCCTGAGCAACAAACCTAGGAGGTTGCTCCATATAGATTTCTTCTTGCAAATCACCATTGAGAAAATTATTTTTAACATCTAGTTGATAAAGAGGCAATTGTTGAAGAGCGGCCATGGCGATAAATAAACGAACAGAAGCCATTTTTGCCACGGGGGAAAATGTATCTCCATAATCCAACCCAAAAATTTGAGTATAACCTTTGGCCACAAGACGAGCTTTGAGGCGATCAATAGTACAATCAGGTCTAACTTTGATAGCAAACATCACCTGCATCCAACAACAGATTTTTCAGACGGTAATGGGACCAATTCCCAAGTTCCACTATTATGAAGAACACTTAGTTCATCTAACATGGTCTGACGTCAACCAGGATGGGCTCATGGACAGTTTTTGGAATGGTCACAGAAGAAATAGAGGAAAGACATGGGTAAAAAGCTAATGACAGTCGATGATAACTAAAATCAATATAATGGGGAGAGGGATTACGTGTAGAACGGATACCTTTTCGGAGGGCAATGGGAAGGTCAAACTCAAGTGTCAGATCCGGAGGATACAAAGTAGTTGGTACTTGAGTGGAGTCACATGGTGGTGGTGGTGGTTGTGATTGGTTTCGGCAACTATAAACCTGAAGAGGCGGTGGAGAAGAAGCTGACTGCGGAGCAGGAACTAATGGTGAAGAAGACACAGTTAGAGGGTTACAAACAACATGAACATTAAATGTGCTAGGAGTGTTGACAGGATTGGATGGAGATAAAGGTGAAGATTGACTTTTAAAATAAAGAGAGAACTCATCAAAGGTGACATCTGCAGACACAAAATAATGATTAAAAGAAAGAGAAAAACATTTATATCCTTTTTGTGATCTTGTAAACCCTAAGAAAATACATTTATGTGATCTAGAAGAAAGTTTGTCAAGACCAGAACTGAAATTATAAACAAAACATGTAGGTCCGAAAACTCTTAGAGGTAAGGGATGAAATGGTTCATGAGGGAATAAAATGAAATGAGGTATTTTATTATCTAAAACCGAAGAAGGCATGCGATTAACGAGATAACATGCAGTAAGAAGAGCATCACCCCAATACAATAACCGGAAAGATGTTAGACTTTGGCTCTGATACCATATTGAATATAGATAAAATAGAGTTTGAGATTAATCTCCCTTGTGTATAAACCACACATAGGGTAATCTATTTATAATAAAAAGAAGTACAACTAAAAGAGTAACCGAAAGTAATAAGAATAAATAGAAGATATTGTTTGATATTGTGGTTAACAATATCTAACGAGTATATGTATATATATGTATATACATATATTGTTAGAATTATTATTAGGTAGTGGTTAGTAGTTGGTGGTTGGTAGTTGTTGTTTTAAATCTGTAATCTTATATATATATATATATATATGATATATACATATATATATATATATATATATATATATATATATATATATATATATATATATATATATATATATATATATGAGATCATGGAGTGGAGAATATCATCCCACTGAATTAAAAATCTTCTTTTTAACTCTCTTAACTTGGTATCAGAGCATGTTGGTCCTGCTCTGCCTTTCTGGCCACTTTTCCGGTCACTTTCCGGCAACTTTCAACTCCCCGTCCAGTCACTTTTTTGTTGCCGTCCGACGACTTTCTGATCACATTCCAGTGACCTTCCGATTTCCGTTCCGCTACAGTTGTCCGCTGTTGCCATTCATCAGTTTTCTTGCAAAGTAAAAATTGATACTTCCCTCTATCTAATTCTATCTTGGGTGTTCTCCTTACAAGTTCCATTGTCTCCATCTTACATTTATATTATTTAAAACATGTCGTCAGGGTCCACAACCTCCTTTTCTGGAACTCACACTATAACGGTTGAGAAATTAAATGGAAAAAATTACATGTATTTGTCCTCTTCAGTGGAGCTTTGGTTCCTTGGACAAGGGTTTCACGATCATCTAGAAGAAGATGGAAGTAAGATATCAGAAGATCAAGCTCAACTATGGAAAAAACTTGATTATCAACTTTGTGCTCTATTGTGGCAATTAGTAGAACCAAATATTTTGAACACACTCAGATCCTTCAAAACATGTAACTCTTTCTGGAAAAAGGCTCAGAATATCTTCGCAAATGATATCTAACGCCTTTATGATTCCGCTAATCGATTAGTCTCTCTCAAGCAAGTGGATAAAGATATGATGACCTTTATTGTTGAAGCTCAATCACCAGTTGAAGAATTGAATATGTTCCTAGAGGTGGATTCGTTAGAGGAGATAAAACAAAAGTTAGATAAATTCTATATGGTTATGACTCCCTTCTATGGAAAGTTTGACTACAAGGCTACTTCGTGTTCCAACTCTCAAAGAAAAAAATAATCAAGAACTTGTTGAATCTTCTGCTATGATTTCTACTCGTGGAAGAGGAAGTCGCGACACTAGAGGAGGACGTGGAGATAGAGGACGTCCTCAGTACACTCATTGCAAGTGAATGGGTCATACCCTGAAAAATTGCTACTCTTTACACGGTTTTCCTGACAAGACTATCAATTTTTCCAAATCTGAAATGGTTGAACCAAAGTTCTCTCACGAAGAATATCAAGAATATTTGAGGTTGAAATCCAGTAATGTAGCGTAGTCATCAACAACCCCAAATTCATCAACCGCTTGCATTTCACAATTTATGGAAAGTCAAAATCTATGGATTATTGACTCAGGTGCTTCTGATTACATGTCTGGTAATACCTCTTTGTTTTCTTCTCTCTCATTTCCTAAAACTCCTCATCTCATAACCTTAGCCAATGGATCTAAAGTAGCCTCTAAAGGAACTGGTCAAGTCTCTATTTTTCCGTCTTTAAACTTAAAATCTGTTCTTTTTGTTCCTTCATGTCCCTTCAGTCTCATTTCCCTACTTAACCAAATTGTTGAATTGTTCAGTAACCTTTAATGCCAACTCTTTTGTTATACAGGAACGTGGTACGGGTTGACAGATTGGTGAAGGATATGAATCTGGAGGCTTATACTACCTTGGGACGAAATCATCTGGATCTTGTGTTGCATCCTTGTCTCGAAAACTATTACATGAACGTTTAGGGCACCCTCACTTGTCAAGATTTAAAAAAATGGTTCATGAATTTCAAACTCTTCAAGATTTTGAATGTGAATCATGTCAACTAAGGAATCATACTAGGTCCTCTTTTCCTAAACGTTCTGAATCTAGATGTGGCTCTGTCTTTTCTCTTGTTCATTCTGATATTTGGGATCCTAGTCGTGTCTCATCCTTTGACTATAGATATTTTGTTACCTTCATTGATGAGTTTTCTAGGTGTACTTGGATTTATCTAATGAAAGACCGTTCTAAATTATTACCTATCTTTAAGTCTTTCCTTAACGAAATCAAAAATCAATTTGAAAAAATAATCAAAGTTTTACGAAATAATAATGCCAAAGAATACTTTTCTACTGATTTCTCCACTCTCTTAAGTTCCCAAGGCATTTTACACCAATCTACTTTTGGTATAGCAGAACGAAAAAATAGACATTTGGTTAAAACTGCTCGTACCTTATTACTTGGTGCAAATATGTTTGTTTATCATTGGGGGATGTTATTCTTACTGCATGTTTTCTCATTAACAGAATGTCATCTTCTTCTCTTGACAATAAAGTTTCACACTCTATTCTATTACCAAAGGAGCCACTCTTTCATGTTTCTCCTCGTGTATTTGGTTGCGTATGTTTTGTTCATGATATGTCTCCAGGTTTAGATAAACTATCAGCTAGAGCTATCAAATGTGTCTTCTTGGGATATTCTCGTCTTCAAAAAGGATATCGATGCTATGCAGGATATTAGTTCGGTCCAAAATGTCCTACCTATACCCTTAGTGGAGCCATTTGTACCTCCTCCTCCTGACACCCAAAATTCCACACAAAATACACCTGAATCCTCATCACTGCCTCTTATTACCTATCAACACAGGAGCCAAATGATCAGTCCCATGTCTCAAGATGAGTCTTCCTCAGCAGTTCCTTCTCAATCATCCCCTGATACCACCATTCCTGATAATGATGACTCAAGTTGGCCCATTGCCATTCGCAAAGGTACTCGCTCTACTCGTAATCCACATTCCATTTACAATTTTCTTAGCTACCATAGATTGTCTCCTTCCTATTTTTCTTTTGTTTCTTCTGTATCCACTATTACTATTTCAAAAAATGTGAAAGAAGCACTTGATCATCCTGGATGGCGACAAGCTATGATTGATGAAATACAGGCTCTTGAGTACAATGGTACATGGAACTTAGTTCCTCTTCTACCTGGGGAGAAAACGGTTGATTGTCGTTGGGTCTATGCCATTAAAGTTAGACCAAAAGGTGAAGTTGATCGACTCAAAGCTAGATTAGTAGCAAAAGGCTACACTTAGATCTATGGCCTTGACTACAGTGATACTTTTTTTCCTGTGGCCAAAATGACTACTGTTCGACTTTTCTTTGCTATGTCAGCTATCCGTCATTGGCCTCTTCATCAGTTAGATATATCAATAATGTTTTCTTGCATGGTGATCTTGAAGAGGAAATTTACATGGAGCAACCTCCTAGTTTTGTTGCTTAGGGGGAGTCTAGTTTGGTTTGTAAGTTACATCGTTTTCTCTATGGTTTCAAACAATCTCCACGTGCATGGTTTGGAAAGTTTAGTCACATTGTTCAAAGTTTTGAACTAAAACGAAGTGGAGCAGATCATTATGTTTTTTATTATATTGCTTCAGGAAAATGTGTTTATTTAATTGTATATGTGGATGATATGGTCATTACAGGGGATGATGTTGATAAAATTTATCAACTAAAGAAACATTTATGCATTCACTTCCAAACTAAGGATCTTGGTTGTCTCAAATACTTTCTAGGGATTAAAATGGCTCAATTAAAAGAAGGCATTGTAGTCTCCCAAAGAAAGTATGCTTTAGATATCCTGAAAGAAATAAGCATGATTGATTGTAGACCAGTAGACAGCCCTATGGATCCAAATCAGAAATTAATGGCGGATCAGGGTGAACCGCTCTCTGATACTAAGAGGTATAGAAGACTTGTTGGGAAACTCATTTATTTCACCATTACCAGACCTAACTTATCTTTTGTCGTTGGAGTTGTCAGTCAGTTTATGCAAAATCCGTGTACTGATCAGTGAAATATTGTCGTTCACATAAGGTCTGTTGTATGAAGATAAAGGGGTACCCAAATATATGGGTATTGTGATGCTGATTGGGCTGGATCCCCTATTGACAGACGCTCCACTACAGGATATTGTGTTCTCATTGGAGACAATATTATTTCTCGGAAAAGCAAGAAACAAAATGTAGTGGTCCGGTCTAGTGCTGAAGCTAAATATAGAGCAATGACATCTCTCACTTGTGAACTAGTGTGGGTGAAACAATTCCTTCAAGAACTAAAATTTTGTGAGATCCAACAGATGAAGATATATTGTGACAATCAAGCAGCTTTTCACATTGCCTCTAATTCGGTGTTTCATGAAGGGACCAAATATATAAAACTTGATTGTCATTTTATTCGTGAAAAATTGTTGTCTAAAGAAATTTGCACTGAATTTGTCGGGTCCAATGATCAACTTGCAGATGTGTTGACAAAGTCTTTAAGAGGACCTCGAATTGAATTTATTTATTTCAAATTTGGCACATACAATTTGTATGTTCCAGCTTGAGGGGGAGTGTTAAAATTATTATTAGGTAATGGTTAGTGGTTAGTAGTTAGTTGTTGGTGGTTAGTAGTTGTTTTAAATATTGTAATCCTATATATATATATATATATATATATATATATATATTTAAATTGCTATGGGATCTTCAACACCACCCTCATGCCTCGATCTAAATAATCAACAGTGAGACTAGGTGTTTATGAGTAGTTTGAAAATGGCCCAATAGGCCAAACCATAGTCGTTAGGATAGGTTTGGGTAGCATATTAAAGTTTGGGTTTAGACCTTACTTATTTTACAAATTAGTTTGTAAGTTGATGTTTGCACCGTAATTCTATATTCTATTTTGTCCATATCTCTAAAAATGTGAAATTTCCAACACACTCCATTTTCATGTTGACAATTGAATATCTAGAGTGAACGACTTGATATTTGCGCCTTGTCCTGATAGTGAGTGATACAGTAGGTCCAACAAATCTTGCTATGATAAAATTTGATTTCATCTTAGAATTTGAGCTTAGGTCTAACTTACTCTTACAAATTTGGCTCTATCTATAGTCAATGCAAGAGTTGGATTTTTTCCAATACACTCCTTGTTTAGCACTATTGTGCTTGGTGGGTAAATAATATGGTGGATGACCTTTCAATGAATCTAGGATAAGCTCTAATTCTATTTCAGAAAGTGGGTTTGGATTTAATACAATCCCATATAATCGGCTTGTTAGATAAGGGTTATTCACTGCTTATATATTCTTTTTTCAGACTCTATTTGTAGCTGATTTGAGATTTACTAACACCCCCTTATGCTTGGGACTGGACATTGATTTGGCCATATCAGCTGATAGAGAACTTGGATTTCTTTCAATACAACCTCCTCATGTCGACGAATAAACATCTCAAACATGGAACTAGATATTTACGGATAGTCTGTAAATGGCTCAATAATAGGAAATACATATATCCAACTATAATTGCAAGAAAAGATTTTGATACTATCATAGAATTTGGGTTTGGACCTAATTGAATCCTAAAACACTAGTTTGTAAGGTGAGGTCTACTCAAACAAAGTAATTAGGCGTTTTGTACATGGAAAACGTTAGCCTTTGTCATCAGAAGCATCCATATGTCTTGTTTGTTTACAAAAACTCAAGGTTTGGTCATCCTAAACCTAATAATTTTTAACTCGCTATAGAGAGTGGTTTGGCAGATTGAACACTGGTTCAACATTTTGGTATGATTCAATGTAAGGTTGACTACTTAGGGCTTGTTTAGATGTAACTCTCCATATATTTAGGGTAGAAAAATAAGAAAAAAAATTAAATGAGCTTCTTCATCAGCTAATTTGTGCATAAGTTAGTTTTAGTTTATGGATATCATTTTTTATATAAGTGCTTATGAAGAAGTTTGCCTAAATAGATCCTTTCTCTTCTATCACCACTCACCTGCAAAATGCATTTACTAGTTGATTATATATGTTGATAACATTGTCACTACCGATGGTAATGTGAAGGAGAGCATCTTTGCTATCATTGAGACTTTGTTACTTCTTGGGTTTAGAGTAGTATGGTCCAATAATGGTATTATGATTTCTCAGAAGAAATATGTAATGGACAGTTTGGAGGAAAAAGGGTTGATAAAGGCTAAACTTTTGCCTTGTTAGGAGGAGCTATTTTCTAATCTGAATAGATGCAACAAATTGGTTGGAAAACTTCATTATTTCACTATCACTTGTATAGATATTTCCTCTGCAGTTTGTATTGTAAGTCATTTTCTTAATTCATGTACAGTACATAGGGGTGCAATGATTAGAATCTTTAGATATATTAAATGAGTTCCAAGAAAAATTGCTCTCGTATAAAAGCAAAAGTTATGTCCAAATTGTGGGGATTTCGGATGTAGATTGAGGAGGCTCTCACATTGACAAGAGGTACACTTTTAGTTCCTATATCTTCATTATGGAAACAAAATGTGATTGCAGGATCAAGTGCAGAAGTGGAACACTAAGTCATATGAGCTTATCTAGCTCAAATAGTTACTCAAAGAACAGTGATTTATAGAGATTGCACTTATGATGGTTATTGTGATTATTAGTCAGTATCACACATTGCCTCAAATCTAGTATTCCCAAAGTCGATCAAACACGAAGGTTGATGGTCATATCATTAGAGACAAGACCTTGTAAGGAGACAACGCTATTTTTATCAATTCAAATGAACAAATTGGCAGATGTTTCCATAAAATTTATTATAGGTCCCCCAATTAGTTATATATGTAGCAAGGTTGGCAAATATTCTTTATATGCTCCATGTTGAGGAGTGTTAGAAATAACGTAGTTATAACAATGATGATGATAATAATAATAGTAATAATAATGTAAATAGAGTAGATTATGTGTTACCCAATTATGCTAATTAAAGTAATTGTTTATTTTTGTTACTATCCTTATATTTATGACTTCTTAAAACAAAATGTTATGTTGCATGGTATAAACTCGGAATTCATTACATGCCATCATTTTGTCTCTTTCTCACAATTTTATTTTACTTTTTTTAAAGATCCCCCTCTCTCCCCTGGCAACTTTATTCATGATACTCTGTCTATGTATGCCACTGAGTTTTTTACTTTTTGACTTGTACATCAACTATCTCTGCATTTTGTGGATTCTGAAAGAAATGTTTAATCTAGCTTTCATCTTAATTATTCATATATTTTGTAATTGATATTGTCTTATCTAATTGATGATTCACATCGTGTAGGAAATAAAATCAGTCAAAGACTCGGTTGCCAAATGTTACCTTGACCAATTAAAAGAATTACAGCAAACTGTGGATCTCAAACAGAAGGAATTGGGGGATCTTAACAAGGCATCTGCTGAACAAAGACATGCCCTGGAAGACCTTAATGAAAGGCTTAATGCTTCTGCACAGTCATGTGCTGAAGCAAATTCTATGATAAGTAGGTATGAATTATTTAATTTTCACTACTGTATTTAATAAAATCTTTTTGTCTTAATATTTCTTTAGCATTGTAGACTTAGGTGGTTCATATTGATATAGTTTCAGCTGTTCCTTGGTTGATTGATCTTTATATTGCCTGGAGAATTGACAATATAGAAATAGTTTCCCTCAGTTATTCCTGTCATAGTAATCTATTATGCTTCCTATTAATTGTGCTGAATTTAAATTCTAAAAGTTGTATTATTTATGCTGTGCACAGTTTAGTAACTCTCTCTCCTCTGTTAGTCAAAAGGTAAATATAGCTGAACTGAAGGAACAATTAGATGATGAGCGGACTCAAAGAAAAGAAGAGCGGGAGAAGGCTGCAGCTGACCTAAAAGCTGCTGTTCATAGAATCCAGTCTGAGGCCCAGGAGGAATTAAAACGATTCTTAGATGCGGCCTTAAGAAGAGAAAGTGAGCTACAAGAAGCAATTAATAAGTTACAGGTTTGAGAGTTTTGATGCTAAATTTGTAAGAAACTGCCCCCTTTCTACTATCAGGAGCTCAGATTCTGTCTCAATATATGTTGTAGGAGTCGGAGAGAGAAATGTCTTTGCTGGCTGAAACCTTGAGGTCCAAGCTGGTATTGTTTCAATTTTGCTTCTGTTAGTTTAAGAAAAATTTTGAATTACACTTCAGATATATTTTACTCTTTATATTCCTTTTCTGTTGCAGGAGGATACCAGGCAAAAATTGGTTGTCTCTGATAATAAAGTTCGCCAACTGGAAACCCAAGTACATGAAGAGAAACTGGCCACTGAAAATGAAATAAAGGTAATCAGATAATTTTATGTGGAGTATTGTGTTACTTTATCATATTTTGCTTGATATCGAGCTGAAAATAAATTTTAATTCATGGAGCAGAAGGTAGAGCTCGAGCAACAGGAAACAAGAAGATTAAGAAAAGAGCTTGAGAGCGAAAAGGTAGATATGTGAAGCACATTAGTGAATACAAAAAAGGTTTTGATACAAAGTTTTTTTTTTTGGGGGAATGATATCTGCTTTACATTCAGGGGCCATGCTAGTGTTATTTAGATGACTGCATAATAATTTATTGATATGACCAATGGCGTGACTTTAACTGACTATTATTAATGTTGCTCTTCATGCAAAGAATGAAGAAAAACTTATAGTTTATATACTGCTTGGCTTTCTGTTTAGTTATTTTTCCTTTTTATTTGATATCTTATCCTCTTTTTTTAAGCTCCTTTTTCCTGTGGGTCAAGCTTCCTTATTTGAAGCTGAGGATTTTGTTGATGTTAGCAGGCAGCTCGAGAAGAAGCTTGGGCTAAAGTTTCTGTTCTTGAGCTTGAGATAAATGCGGCAATGAGAGACCTTGATTTTGAAAGGCGGAGGTTAAAAGGTGCCAGGGAAAGACTTATGCTTCGGTAAGGCTAGATTTGATGTTGATTATAATCATTGGACATTTGTGATTTGAAAATTAGGTAGAATTTCCAACATAGACTACACTTATTGGCAAAGATTATCGGAGGACATTTGTGTTCTAATAATTAATAAATATTCTTTATGCAGATTAAATTAGAGACGAATGCTAAGACTTTCTAATAAATCTTTCGAAGGATTATGTGTACTAGTGTTTTATAAACATTACTTTAGTGGATCTTAACTAATTTTAAACTGATCTGAAAATAAAATGAGATAAAGGATGTAGGAACATGTTCAGCAAGAGTAAGACAATCCAAAAGTGTAGGGAACCTTGTTTAGAAGAAATTGTTAGTATATTTGCTTATAAACCTTTTTTTATAGACATCTATATAGAGAACATCTGTGCAAGCATGTTCATGACTAAAACACTAGCTGTGATTTAAAAAGAAGGGCTGCTGTCGTAATTGTGTTACTTTGCTTTGAATATATACTATTCAGCAATGTTATTTCTATTGAAAATGTGGATCCTGTTGTCCCTAAGTACGTACTGGCATACATATTGATTTGATTTCAGCTGAATATTCCAAGTCCCAGTTGGTTAATGTACCACTGAATCATGCTATATGAATTGTAGTTTGACGTTTTGTAATGCATGTGCATACCTGTTGCACTCTTCGTAATGATTGTAGATTCTAGATTTTGCAGCTGAAAGTCTGCGATGCCTTGCAGGGAAACACAGCTTCGAGCATTTTATTCCACTACTGAAGAGATACAAGTACTGTTTGCTAAGCAACAGGAACAATTGAAATCTATGCAGAGAACTCTAGAAGATGAAGAAAATTATGAGAATACTTCTGTAGAAATGGACGGAATCATCGGTGGAACCTTGGGCAGAGAAAAAGAAGTTGATGGATACCATAGCCAAAATGATGCCAAGGCACGAAAACTTAACATAGATCACGTTGAATCATCAAGCAATGAGGCAAGTGTCACTGAGAAGCATGACTGTGATATAAGAAGTGAAGAATGTCAAAATACACAAGAGGCAGAATTCACCAGTGCTGATCATGAGCACAGTGTTAGAGGCGGCTTTGGTTCTAACATTGATGGTGTTGGGCCAGGGAATGTTTTGGAGGGAGATGCTCCCGTAGGCACTGAAAAAGTTCATGAAACTGAAACTCCTATAAATCAGGGTGATCAGAATATTGATTTGAACAAGTGTTTAGGTGGGGACACAATGCAGATTGATGATGATGATAACAATGTACAAGAAACTGAAGAGCTTGCTCAAATACCTTCTCGTGAAGGTTTACATCACTATCAATCAAATAATCCTTCAGACACTGAAAAGACCATCGAGGATACGCAAGTCACAATCAGAACAGCAGACCTTTTAACTTCCGAAGTCGCGGGTAGTTGGGCTTGTAATACTGCCCCTTCCATGCATGAAGAAAATGAATCTCCAAGCAGAGATAATAATGAAGCTTTAGGAGCATTGCATGACTCAAATGTCTTAGTGGCTGAGGTTCAGAACACTCTTTCTGATGCTGCAGTTGCCAGACAAAATGAACGACGAGCATTAAGTGAGATGATTGGCATTGTTGCTCCTGATTTGAGGGAGCAATTTGGAGGTTCTGCATATGATTGTGACCAAGAGAGGGAAAATCGTCACGGTTCATCTGACTCGGATACTGAGTGTTGTAGCAACACTAGCATTGATAACATAGCTGATGCAAAGGGTGGATCGATATCTGATGAAGAAACTCAGGTTAGTGACCATGATGAGGAGGATCAAAAGCAGGGTGATACCATGGATGAAGATGATGAAGCCACTCAAGAAGATTGATTTTCTTCCATAGTTGGACATTGTGGAGAGATATTCAGGTAAGTAAGTTGTATAGATACTGAAGCAATCTCCTGTATTTTTTGCAATTTTCCCTAGCTCCCCCTCTTCCTCCTTGTAATTATATTTGAGGCATTTTATTGTATTTTATTATTGAAAATTTATTAAATGCCATTTTGCTCTATTAAATACAAATACTGTGATAAAAAAGGTTTGAAGTTGCCAGTTAATACATGCTTCAAGTAGTCCCCCATCAAGGGGGAGTATACACACCATTCTGATTTTTATCTTTCCAAGCAATGATATTGAAGTATCAGCCTGTTGAATTTGACTCAGTTCTTTACTTAAAAAAATTGTCTTCTGTGCTTGGAATCTGAAACTGTGGTTTGCCACTCATAACATAAATGCTAATATGTTGCAACTTTGCCTAACAATATTGTCATTGCAATATTTTGGAAGTATTAAATAGTGGCATATGACCATAGAAAATTAAACTTTATCATACAATTTGTTCATTGTCTAGTATTAGGAAGAAAATAGAAGTGCCATTCGTCGTGATGTTTGGTACGTCGGAAGATAAAAGAATATAAAACTTGTGTAAATTTATAATCAATGGCTAGAGAGCATGAGATTTTAGGTGCTCTAATTTTTTCATTTATTTAACTTTTTACACTATACAGTTTAAGAAATCAAATATAGTTGTTTCAATCTTAGTTGAATCTTATCCCCCAGAAGAAAATTGAAGTTGCATCATGAATATTTTAAAAATCAATTGAAATAACAATCCTTTGGTTATTTTTGTCGAAGTGAATGTAAAATAGACATTCTGCTAATAGTGTTTTTGTTATTTATTTTTTATAGAATATTTGCTAATAGTGAATGTAGAATATTTTTATAGAATATTTTGTAAAATAGACATTCTGCTAATAATGTAAAATAAATAGTATTATTTATGAGTATTTTGGTCTAATACAGTTTTAAATGAACCGTACGATTTCTTAGTCATATTTTTTAATCTGTGCATTAAGATAAAATTTAAACATATAAATCACCAAATATTCGTGTTCCAAAGCTATTTTAGAATTCTAGAACATCACAATCCTATATCTAATAACTCTTTATAAACAATTTTAAAGTCAAATCAAAGGACAATCTAAAATATGGGCTTGTTATTTGTATGATATATATCAAAATATCTGGGCTGGAATGGAATATACCTTCTTTTAGTCTTATCAAAGCTAACAGTAGTGATTTATATGTAATAATTTATTAGAACCTAACATTAAAAATTCTCAAAAGAAAATGATGTTAAAATCATGAAAAAATGTAAAATAAAATCATGACAAAATGTAAAATAAAAAAACAAAAACATTTATTATGGTCGGATCACTTGTTAAATTGACTGGTTGTTCCAAATAGTGAAGTATCATCAACATCATGAGAAAAGAAAATTGGAGTGGAAAAACAGTAACCACGTTTCAATTCCTGTGTGACAGTGAAAGATACCATATTAAGTGGTTAACAAATCTCAGAACAACTATATAAGCACACTTATTAAGCATGGGACATTCAGAACTTATCATTCAACTTGTGTTTCAATAATGTGTTATTTGATGTTATATAATGCACATTAAGATTCTCTATAATACTTCCAAAGTTGTTAGAACAGACTGTATAATAAGTTAAGAGATATGAACAAACATTGTAAGGTGATGGCAGATACTGTACTGCATGAGAGTCCAGTCTCTGTAACAATCTGGGGGAAAATGAATTGAATTCATAGAGCTATAATTGTACACGTTTAAAAATGTGATGATGATGATGGTAATAGAAGACGAAGGAAGCCAAGTGATGATGATGATGAGGATGTGTACCAATTTTGAAGGCAATCAATGGCAGTGGATAATTGAGTGGCAGAGAGTAAGATCATAGATTTCTCATTTGAATGCAAGGGAAATTGTGATGGTGAGGTGGACCACATATAATATAATATATATATATATATATATATATATATATATATATATATATATATATATATATTTTTTTTTTCCTATGGTGAGAGATGAATCAGTAAATAGTAAAACTATGATATTCTACTACCTTTATTTTATTGTTTTGTATGCATTTTTCCCATGCAATATTACTTTATCAAACCCAAAATAGAATTTAATTTGAAACTTGATGAGAACTGTTTTTTAATTCGTCTGAAAAACAAGTGTAATAAGATCATGCATACAGACTTTAACAGTTTTATTTAGAAAAAATAAAATTTTACAAGAAAAAATGGTGTACTACTTTTTTAAAAGTCTCCACTTAACAAGTACGTCTTCAAATTAAATGGTCATTTAAAACAAAAAAGTGAATATGGAACTTTCCTCTGGACTTTGGTTTTTGTTTGAGATGAAAAAAGATAAAATTATTTGAGTAGTTGAAATTAAATCATAAAATTAAGGGTACCTTATTAAACTGATAGAGACCTTATTATAAGATTTATTTATTTTTTTGTTACTATGCCCTCTGTGGTTTTATTTAAATAAATTTGATATGAAAAAATATATATTTTTGGTGAGCGAGATAAGTGGATAGGTGGGGATTGCAACCCATTAATTAAGCAACATTACCTCCTTTTGTTTTCTGTTTTTTTTTTTTTTTTTCTGGATTTATAATCTTTGATGTGAGTAAATGATTTAAAAATAAGTTGTGTTTCTATTAATTAGAGGGAAAAAAGTTGTTCCCTTCCTTAAAAAATACACATAATGTTAAATGCACTAAAAATTAAGAACTTCGTCTAAAATTAAATAAAAGATATATATAGGTAAGTTGTAGTCCTATAAAATATTGGGAAAAAAACATAGGCTATAAGATGGTGTTGAAAATGGGTAGGGATTTTGATATCATAGTTGACTACTTCCTCCACATAGTGCAAGTATTTTGGTGGTAGTAATACAAGAAATGAGTGAAGGGTTGTGGTCCTTGTCCTCATCAAATGGCTACACCTTCCTTGTTCAAAAGGGTATGATGAGGGGCTCAAGAAGATCCATCTTTGAAACCCATCTTTGGCAAAGATCAAACATGTAATAGTTTATTCATAAATTTACACCATCATCAAAATAGATATAAATCACCATCAAAACATAAAGTCACACACATATGTATGCAAATTACTTTTCTCCCCTCCCTTTGCTTTTCCTTTGATGCTTCACTACTAAATGAAAATGACTCCCTTTCACTCAAGATCAAAATAACCCCACACGCTTTGCCCTAGTTTGACACTTCGCTTTCCTAGCTACATCATATCCACCTATGTGTCCCATTCATGCGTTTCATCCTAAATCTTTGAGGGCAATATTTGTGTACAATGCATAGTGTATAAAACAATCTATTCATTTTACCATCTTGTTTAACTACACTACTATCTATGATGAGCATGTGTAGCTAGTGAAAATTCCCTTATATGTGAATTGTAAATTTTTTTTGGTGTAAGGTGGCCATGTGAAATGGGTGAAGCAAAGTTGGACAAGATATATACTAGCTTCCACTACATAGCATGATGATGTATAAACAAAAACCATCCAATGAATGTGAGAAGGGGGCATGGTGGTCATGATGATGGGGAAGAAGATGAAGCCAAAATGGGGTTCATTTTCCAAATAAATGAGCATGGCTTTGGTACTCAATTACATGAAGAAAAGGGACAAAATAAGGGACCTAACCACATTGACTACTTACCCTTCCATATCCTCATTACCTTAATACAACACTCATTCTGCATTGGCTTCTTCTAACACGCATGTGACTCTCACGTGCCACCCCATGTGACTCTTCTTTTCAAGTTGGACTTGTATTGGTGCATCTAAAGTAACACAAAACCCCATTCTTTTAATTATTATATACCTATAAAATAATTCATGCCATGTAATTGCTCTTTTTGACCGCATTTCTAATTTGTCCCATTTTGATTCTCCAATTTCAATTATTTAATTAATACTGATTACGTCTCTAATAAGGTGTCTAGCGATAAACAATAAATAAATAAAAACAAACGTTTTTGGTTGTGTTTTCTAAGAGTTTAAACATTAAGCATAATGACAATGTTATGTAAATTCATTGTTTACGAGAATCCGAACACGTAAAGACAAATCCACAATGTGAACAAAGATAAAGAGACATTAGAAAATACTGAGTCTACTTTTGAATCAAAACCTTTCTTAAACGATTTTATAAGAAACAAATAACAACTTTTGACAATGTTGTTTACTATGTCAATATAAGCAGTGCATATTCAAGAATTTAGAAAAATAATTAAAACTTTGATAGTATTTTTTTTATTATCAATGACATGGTTATTTATTAGGATAGTGCTTAAATTTAATGAAAGGAGAAAATAAACAAAATAGTTAAAGTTGGTTTAAATAAACGAAAAGAAAGTATTGTTGACAAATCAATGATATAGAGAAATGATTCGTCAACTTCTACTCTGAGAGGTTCAGACCAACTTGTTGGTTTTGAAAATTGCTGTGATCTCTTTCGGTCGAAATGATTATCAAAGGATGAACATAAGAAAATGGAGGTTCTTAGACATTTGAATTTACTCACAATTAATGGTAGGAAAATCCAAAATAGTACCCAAAATTTAGTGTGAAAAAATAAGTTAACTCTAATCAAAGTCATGTTAATCGGTTATATAGATAGAGATATTTTACTTTATTTTTATTTTTGTTTTTGTTTTTGTTTTTTACATAAAAAAATTATGCTAATTTCCAACCATAGTGCTTCCTTCCCAACACCTCCTATTGGTACTAGTGGAATAGGGTTGACCTAATTGCATATAAGAAAGATTCAAGACTACATTAATATTATCAACAATACATGACAAAGGAATTAATTGTTTTATTAGCAACTTTTTGAAATTTTACTCTCTTCGAAGAATATGTCTTCCTCGTAATACCAAGGTTTAAAAATCAAAATGGATTCATTTCTTTAATATAGAAATAATGAAAAAAAAAATCTTGGAGTTTATCGAAATCTATTAGCTATAATTTAGAAGTTCTTAACAATGTCTATGAACGAAGTTTCTGACAAGTTGAGAAAAATAATAATAATAATTAGATACTAATATGAATTTCTCAATCATGTTATTCATAATAAGTAAGTCAAATTTTGAGTGCCAAAAAATTTATATTAATTCACACACTGTTGAACCAAGTGAGAGATCTCTTTGAACAATGTATATGGATTCACTACTGGGATACAAAGTGTAGGGAGAGAGTAACATTTACAACTTATATTAATTTGGTCCCATTATTTATGGCTTAAAGAGACATCTACAACATGTTACATTAATTTTTCCACTGCATGTTTTGGTAATGGCTTTTACCAGTCAAAATCATACTACCCTTACTTCGTTCTATTTTGCCTCTACACCTTTATTTCTAGCTTTCTTCATTCTATTACTATTACTATATCATATCAATCTTCAAGAAAAAATTGTATATATACCACACATTGTATTTTATACAATGTATTTTTTTGTATCATCAAACAGACATGGATGAACTGTCACAAGTTGTTTTCAGTTAAATCAATAATTTGACTTTAAACCCTGAATCTCTGTATATGCGACTATGTTAAATATTCTGAACAAGAATTTGGTTGAAAATTGATGCAATCTCTATCAAAAATTTCACCCTCAGTGTGGGTTTTTGTTTGAGAAAAAGGGTTTGGCGGTGTGGTTTTGCATGTCTGAGATGGGAATTGTGGTACATGGGACTACCTGAGGGAAGTGGGGAACCACAGGGCTAGCAGGAACAATAACTGCGGAAACTACAAGCAACCATACATTGGCCCATTTTAAATGAACCTGGAGTAAATGCATGTTACCCATTTTGAGTGTGATGTCACACTTATCTTCTATTCTACCATAATTAGCACAACTAATTTGATCACAACCCACATGACTTTTATGACTATTTTTTCTGCTTTGAAGATCCCATGGAAAGAGTGAGAGGACCTAAACTGTCTTACAAACTGCATGGGAAACTTCTAAACTATTCCGAAAAGTGTAACTCAACTTATAGAAAGGGTACGGTGCTTTTTCTTTGTGCCCCCCATCCTTCTCAATTTCTCAATGTTACCCACCACCCCAAGTTAGACTCTGAACCAAAGCAATCAAAAAGGCATAGAAAGAAGAGAGTCATTTTTCTTCATCCCCTTCTGCTTTCCCCTCATCTATTGCTGCCCTTTGTAATCATGAGTCCTTGTGCCATCATTGCTATAAAAGTCTCTCTCTCTCTCTCTCTCCTTCTCTCTATCATACAAACCCAAAATCACAGCTATATTATAACACTTTTCTTTCACCCCAATAGGTTCCTACCAAGTTCTTCTCACCTATAAAAACCCCTTGTAGCCTATCTGTTACACCTCACAATCGCCTTTTTTGTTTATTTATTATTCAGTTTAGTAAGTGAACCGAATCTCTCAAGCTTATAGCTCTTCCTCTCTGAAGAGACCTTGGTTTTTAGAAGGGAAACAGCATGTGCTCTTTCTCTTCAAAACAGACCCTTTATAGCCCTCTCTTTTTGGCACTTCCTCGTCCGTGGTCATCTAAGAGACACCACAGGCACCTTCGGTTGGGCCTGCTCAACAGGTACTGTTCCATAGTCTAGTAGTTTTCTACCATGTCTTTTTACTGTTTCTTACACCTTGTGTGCATGTGTTTTGTCTGTGTTGTTAACATTGGCTCGTTGTACGATGATGCAGAAGGAGGGCACACTTGAAAGAAGCAAGACATAGGAAAAGGATGGTTGTGGTGAAAGCAGAAATTCAGATGAAAAACTTGAAATTGTACATGGAGAACCAAACAATCATAGAGCAGAATGAGAAGTTGAGGAAGCAAGCCATGCTTCTGCACAAAGAGAATCAGGTCCTATTGTTGCAGCTTCAAAAGAAGCTCTCAGAACAGAACAACAATACCAAAAACAACTAGCTATTAGCTAATTTATATAAACAGTTTATTAGTGTGGCAAGAGTAGGAGAAATCGAAGGGTCTGTGTCAGTGATCCTTTTCTGATGTTAGCCCTATATCTTGTTGACTTTGCTTCTTCTTCTTTTTTTGTTATTTGTTTGCATCTTAGTTGGAGCCTTTGAGGTTGAATTATTTAATTTTCTAGCAATAAGTTTAGAGTGGTATAATAAAGATAAAATATGTAATATGCCAATTGTAAGCATTACATGGAATATAGAATTGTGCAACGCTGTGTTAATTTAATTTGTCACTTGTTAGTTTTCCTGGTGGCATGTTTGTAGAAGGAGAGACTGAATAGTTATTAGTGTCTTAGCTTTTTCCTGTTATATGTATTTGCTTAAGCTAATGAATTCGTTTATAAATATATTTTTTAATAATAAAATCACAACATCTTTCAATTGGGTCAATCAACACTATACATGTCTTTGTAATGATATTGTTATACAAGAGTGGTGTAGGGATGAATAAGTTGCGATTATTTTACAGCATATGTCAAATGTTTCGTTTGTTATCAGTAGCAAAACGCAGTTAATTCATGATCCAGTATCATTCATAATATAACCAATTTTCCTACGGAGATGTTTCTGATTCTCGTTAATTACTGATTATCGGACCAAACTAAATTGTATGATTGGCAAAACTATATTGATAGTGTTTTTTCAGGCAAATTTCTCCATATACATTTTTAAAGAGTAAAATAAGATAAATAATTTTTTTAACTAATATTAATTTATACATAAACCATAAATAAAAATGGAATAATTTTATAAATGAACTATTCAAAATTTCATTTAATTTTTAAAAAGCGTTCGTATGTTATCCAACATATTCATATCATAATAAAATAAGTTGCACCATCTAGAACACAGAACTACGGAGGAGGATAAGAAAAGCAAAGAAATGTTGTTCCCCAAACATTCAGCTACGTTCCTCCATATCTTTTATGATGGGATTCTTGGGAAACCAACAAAAATCACATCTCCAGGTGTGTTTATTATATGATAAAAACCATCCAAAAAATAAGCCAAACTGTCACAAAGAGGAACGTACGGGCAGAAAATTGGGATTGGTTCATCATTATAATGTTTCACTGCTTTGACATTCACCTTCCACAATTTAAACAGAGATATGAATTCTATAGTGTCATATGTAGATTTATGTCAGTAGAGGATGTTAGTCAGGGTCAAAACATGATTAATACCATATGCACTCACTTTTACATTAAAACTCACCAAATTTGAACCAGTTTTCAACTACAAGAGTAGTAGTGAGTCAAAAGAAACAAGGTAATCACTTCAATTCATTACAACAGACTCATCTGGATTTGAAGTTTGAAAAAACAAAACTAAAAAGGATACAATAAACCTAGAAGGTAACTTAATAACGACTGACCAAGAAAAAGTCTTCGTCATCAAGAACCTCAACATCTTTATTTCCAACAAAATGCTCTCGACCAATTACCTTCACTATATGGGCGAATTCTATCCTTTTCTCCACAGGAAGAGGTACAAATGGTAGCCTAAAAACGGGCCTGACAACCCCAAGCTGAGCAAGAGCAGTGTTCAAACCAATGGGGTTTGGCATGTGGAAAAGCCAGTCAATCAAAGGTAATAGCTTAGAATTTAGTGTAGGATTTACACCACCAAACATGAGTTCCCGCATTAAACCAGGAATCAGGTTGCTTGCAACAGATATCACTCCAGTAGCTCCATAACCCCATCTAGCATCATGGCATTGATCATCATTCCCACTCCACACAACAATTTCATTGTCTGTATACAGCTTGATCCGATCATTTCCCACACACTCCTTGACACCAGCCAAGTTAGCACTTTCAGCTAAGGTTTGAATTACATGTGGAGGAATGTCTTGACCAGTTCGTGAAGGCACATTATAGATTATTGTGGGTCCCATTGAAAGCACACTTTGAAAGTGAGCAACCATGCCATCCAAGGAGGTTTTGCCATAGTAAGGGTTTATGTGAAGGGCAGCATGCATTCCAACAGCAAAACCCTGCTCGGTGGCATGAATTGCTTCCCTGGTGGAGTTGCTTCCAGTATTTCCAATAACCTTAATTTTCCCACCAAAACAGTTGACTGTATGTGCAATGAGCATTATGTGCTCCTCCCAGCTCATTAATTGCCCTTCACCAGTTGTCCCACCAACAATAACACCTTCGACCCCTTGTCCAATCTGCATATTCACCAAATCATCATATGCTTCCAGATCAAATCGACCATCAGGTAGGTATGGAGTTTTGATGGCAGTTATCAACCTCAGACACTTTATGTCCTCTGCGGAAGTCCTGTAAATGCAATAAATTTAGCTTCATTTGTGAAAATTATGATGATCCAGATTTGTAAACAAAATCGGTAGCCCAAATAGGCTGCATTGAAACCAGAAACACACAAGAATAGTTTTAAATATGCTGGCGTGTGAATAGATATAAACAGTTTTTCAGTCAAAGATACATATCTATTATCTAGATGACATAAAAGCCTTGTATCTCCAAATCAATCTCATAGTGAATGATAGAGAGGATAAAAATGTAAACGAAGTTCAAAGTGTAAATTAGTGATAGAGAACATTGCTTAAAACTCTAGATACATCACATCATCTGTATCTCGTCCAGAAATCCTACCCGGTGCATACATGCTACAGTTCCCACCTAATTTAGACAATACACACAACTACACATAATAGAACAAACAGTCTCAGCAATGAAAAGATGAAAACAATTAAAAAAAAAAATATATATATATATATATATATATATATATATAATTTAGTATAAATGAATGGATTTAGAACATAAAATTTCAAACACACCTATTTTTCAACTCAAAACTGCGCATTGGGAGGTGCAAACTGGGTTGCACAGCTGCTCGTGGAGGCTTCCAGGATGAGCTCCTGAATAATATCGAAAATATTTAACATCAAAAATAGCAAAATTTGGAAAGAGTGGTATTTTGCAAAAGCGTAATCGGAACCAATATACACACTCATACATACATGCATATGACAATGAGAAAACCATATCGCAACTAAAACAACAAATACAGTACTAATTTGAAAAGAATAACCGTTAACCTCAACTACAGACTAAATAGGTTAAAAAAAGACACCCAAAAATTCGAAGGCAGAGACATAGATCATGCTTATGGATGAACATAGAGCATCCTTCTCACTCTATTTTATGATTTTACTACCTTCTATTATGCCAAACAAAAGCACTCTTGCCCATGAAGAACTGGAAAGGGGTAACCAAGAGGCATAACTGTTTAGTCAAGTTTACTAGTAGAACCGGACAACACTTTTAATAAATCTAATATTAAAAAGGTGAATAAGGGACTCCCATTTCGTTACCGTCTTACTTCTCTAAAACTCCTTCTGCTCATCATAATAATCAATCATTAGCACATCCGGCAGATTAAAAGGCTATTCTTGTAGAAAGATAATAATCTAAAATAATGTATTAAAAAGGGGATCCTCTACAGTAAGAAACCCTCTAAAACTAGTTATCAACGCATTGCAGCTAACCTCAAAAAGAACTGACAGTGGTATGGTCACTATTCTCGATGCTATAAATACAAACTAAATAATTTGCACAAAATGCTCAAAAACAGAACATATTACACGATGTGAAAAATAAATGGGGTAATCGTGTGCTGATTTCACCAACAGTATTATTATGTATTGCAATTGTAAATCCTTGGATTTACGTAACATATAAATCTTTGGCTTCTTTCAGTCTTAATATATAAATAATATCCTCCGCTGTGTAGTTGACACACAATCCATCATATACCTCTCATTTCTTTTCACTCTCAACTAGACCTAAACACACAAATCAACAACAACAAACACCTAGAAATATAATAAGTGTAACTCTCCAAGAGGATGGAGTTAGGAATAAAACAACTGCTTCGAGGGGGACAACTGATGGTAACAAAAACAACATAAAAGGACAATCAGAACTTAACACAAAGGTATATTAACTTTTCTTTAGACTTTTGTAGAAACTAAAAGGAGTAGCGGATGCATGATCAAAACAACAGGCTGTGTGCAAAACAGAGAACTGAACTGGTATGTCTGAGCTCTGCCTAAACTGTCAAGCTTGACTGGAAACAACTCTGCTGAGAACTGCATTTTGGTGGTTTGACTTGAAAAAGTTGGGAGCGTGCATGAATGCATTGAAGAAGGTATCAAGCAAGATTTTCAAAACTCCACAATCAGTGGTAGCCCAGAGCATGGTCTTCTTGGCGACTGCCCAGGGTCCTAATTTTTGGAGAATACCAGAAAAAGTCTGCTGAAGAGTTATACATCACTTTTTATGTATTGTAGATCAAATTCACTTAAAAGGATATTTGAGCAATATAACGTTTTTTTTTTAAGTATTGAAAGACTTAAATCATTTAAAAGCTTGAAATTAAGTTTTAAATATAATAATTCTCAGGATCTTGATCATGAGAGAGAATTTAATAATTGAATCAAAATAAAGTTTCATGATATTAAAACTCTTTGAAGATATTTACTTGATGTCTGTATTGCTTATAGAAAAATATTAATTATCCCTATTACTATGTGCTAAATGAAGTTTTTCAAAATTAAAATTGTTAAAATATTATTTGTAATATACTGTGTTAGAAAATAGATTAAATAGTCTTGTTCTAATTTTTATTTAAAAAGTAATTGATTATAAAAGAATTATTGATTGATTTTGCAACAGAACACTACAAGAAGAACAATATTTAAATGATTAGAAGGGCATCTTCTGATCAGTGTGTCCAAGGCACCAAAAATCTCAGGGCCCTGGCCACAATATATTTGAATCTACTATACTCTAAAGTGCAAAGGGTGGATCAACTCAATCCAGTATGGGTTAAAAATCAAGTGTCTCGTTGACTTAATTAACCTAGTCAAATTCAGATGTAAAAATCCCTCACCCATGCATGTCCTTTAGAGCTTTCTCACTTCAGATAAACCTTTTAAAACAATCCACCAAACAGTGAATCAAACCTAGAAACCCATAGTTAACACCTAATGCAGTAACCGACAACAACGACCATACACCAACCCCTTCGACATGCAGATTCAGCTTTAACTATCACAAATCGAAACAAAATATCCCAAAACAAAATCTAACACCGAAAAACAACACAGCAGTCAGTCGGATTTCAGAAGTCAATACATCAATAAACGTGGAATTCCGATAACGAAATTACTAAAGCCGAAAACGAAAAACCAACAATAATAATAAAATAATAACAATAATCATAATTATTGGTGATGAAAATGGACCTGGTGTTTTTATTATTGGTGACATTGGAGGGGCAGACGGGGAAGGTGGTTGCTCTGAAGCAAAGGGTCTTGAGTGTGGCCATGATTTGAAACAGAGGAGAAGAAGATCCGATTGGGAACAGTAAAACGGTGTCGTTTGAAGAGATCCTAGAAGAAGAAGAAGAAGAAGAAGAAGAAGAAGAAATAGGTGAATGCAGTGAGAGTAGAAAATGGCTGCGAAGAGGAGCTGTCTTTTCTGTTTGCGGACTGAAAAACAAAACGAAACTGACACTTACTACTGCACCAGTCACTCCTCCATTAGACAAATTTCTTTACACAATTTATAAGAAAATAAAATAAATTTCTCAATTAAAAATTAAATAAAAATTAGCTTATATATCATACAACTCTTAAGTATTTTATATATTATACTCAGTTTTAGTACTCCTTTATCATATCTTTGCTTTAGAAAATAAATTTATAAACAAAACAATTTTATAAATTACTTGGTGTGTAAGTAGTAAAATTTAAATAACGCATATAATATAAATAAAAAAAAATACATAGTATATTTTGTTTTTAAAAAAACCTTTATAAGTCATTATCTCTTCTTCTTTTTTTAATGGAAAGTAAGAACAAATAAGTGATGGGTACATTTTTTTTCTTTTATACTTTTTCTACATCGAATCAAACAAAAAGATAGAATCTTTGTTTAAATTTTTTTTCTATCTTTCATTCTTTTTCTTTTTCTTTTTTAATTAAACTCAACAATGATATATATTATGCAGATGACTGTACCCAAAAAAAAAAAGACAAATAAATAATTAATATGACTATAAATGATGAGCATAAAAAAGGGTAAAAGTTCAGCACTCACATTTATGGTACGAAGAGTTTTAAATTTATTACATTTTATTATGCTTATTTAAAGAAAGTTATACTTAAGATAAAACGTATATATATATATATATATATATATATATATATATATATATATATATATATATTTAAAGATTAAAAAAATATCAGTGACAATTTCATTTTAATAAGAAAATGTAATACTTATATTTTTCAACAATTTAAATCTCTTGAGACTTGTGTTATTGTAAATCACTATTGTTTTAGTACACGATAAATATTTATTATATATAATTAAAGTGTATAACATAATATATAAATAAATATTATCATAAAACTTATAATAAATAAATATATTTTAAATTTAGTTTAAAATTAAAATTATTTAGTCAAATTATTTTCAATTGATAAAGAATAATAAAAATTTTATTTTTATGTTTATTAAATATAATTAAGGTGTATAATATAATATATAAATAAATATTATTCATAAAACTTATAATAAATAAATATATTTTAAATTTAGTCTAAAATTAAAATTATTTAGTCAAATTATTTTCAACTAGATGAAGAATAATAAAAATCTTATTTTTAAATTATACATTTTAGTTTATAGTTTTTTTATTGGTAATTTAACTTTGTAATACGTAAGTAAATGAAACTTTGTTTAAAATAAAGTATTAGAAAATATGTTGGTACCATTTATAATTTTAAAGTGTTTAATGATTAATTTATAATTGTTGTAGAATAATACAAATTAAAAGTGATTTATTATTCTAAAAAATTATAAATTTAAGTTCAGTCTTAAGAAAGTAATTTCAACAAACTTATTTATTTATTTATGTATGAATATAAAAATTAAAACGCGTAACGCGTGGAATTATCTTCTAAACTTATTTAAAGCTCTATTATTCGGATTACACGTTGGATTTTAATAATTTATCATGTGATCCAACATTGCAAAACAATGCCACATTACCTCCAAAATATAATATAATATTCTTCTTTTAATAATAGTCACATTTAATATTTATAAAAGAAAAATTGGTCAATAGACAAAAACAACTTTTTTTTCCCTTAAACTGTTTACTGTTAAAAAAAATACAAACACATGTTACTACAGTTCAATATTGGTCGATTTTATATTAATGAAACTAAATAAAAATTTATTTTTTAACAATTACTATTTTTATATATAAGTACTTAATTTTCTAGATTTGATTTCGAATAATTTATATATATATATATATATATATATATATATATATTATTAATTTAATATATTTTTTAAAAATAAAATCATAATAAATAAAAATACTCACACATGAATAATTATTATGAATGAGTGATTTGCACTATAGAATTACTAATTTTAAAAGATTTAATATCACAACTCCAAAATTATTTTCATAATTATAATGTCTAACATGTATAGTGATGTGGGACTTTCAACACACTCCCTCCAACGAAACCCGTAGAACAGAACAAAGGGTACTTTTAACCCAATTAAAACGTAAATTTTGGCCCATGACAATAACCGAAAATATGTTAGGTTTTTACTCTAATACCATGTTAAGGTTCCAACATAAAACCAATTGACAATATGTAGAGTAGTCTAACATATATTTAAACGATTCAAAATGATATGAGGTAGGTGACTTGGGACTTTCAACAACTTTAATCGTCGTTATACATTTATCATATATATATATATATATATATATATATATATATATATATATATATAATATTTTGTTAAAGTTAGGTATAATATATATGTGTTTATATTATGTTGAATTAAATTTAGTTGAAAACATTTCAAAACATTAAATTAAACAAAATAGATTTTTAACATAAATGTAAATAAAATATTATATTATCGTGTAGAATAAATTACATAATTATGATAAAAATATGATTACATTTAAATAACATAATCAATTATTAATAAAAGGTTTTCTAATTTAAGAATATCATCTTCTTTTATTATATCATATATTACATAAAAATTAAGTATCTCATATTGAAATCATATAAGTTAATATTTTATAATTGAGTATATCATATAAGTTATTGTTTATTAAAATTCACATTTTAATATGATATTTTACTTAGATATTATTATCGTCATTATCGTCCCAACAAATTTTCATCATAAAAATAACCAAATTTAATATCTAAACATATAATTTCAATCATTTATTTATACATCTATAATAATAGATGTATTTGATTAACTTAGTAGATATTAGATTATGGATGGACTATATATATATATATATATATATATATATATATATATATATATATATATATATATATATATATATATATATATAAAATATGATCATACATCTTTCCTATTAAGATTCCAATCAATTTAATGTAAATTTATAGTGTCTGATGTAAAAAACATTCTTGTAGGTATTGCTTTATCAAAATTTTGATTATTAACCAACATACAATAGACATATGGAACTAAGTACACGTTTTAATGTAATAATCACCACACTTATTAATAGATGAAAGATGTTAATTTTCTTATTTTACTTCTCATAATTATCAAAAAGATAATAATACATTCATGTTTGACACATGAAACACCACCTTTACAATTTTATAAATAACCATAAATATTTTTTTAAAAATAAAATTATAAAAATTTTTGCAAAGATTAATAGTATAACATTTCATACCAATTTATTACATGGTTACAAGCCATATTATCTCTATGCATGATTTTAATATGCAGAACAATACAAAATATAGATAAGTTATTATTTAACAAACTTATTTATTTATTTATGTAGATTATATAAAAGTTCAAACGTGTACCGCGTGAAATTATCTTCTATATTTTTTTAAAAGCTCAATTATTAAGAGAAAACAAATTAGATTTTAATAATTTGTCATGTGACCCGACATTGCCAAACAATCCCACATTACCTCCAAATTTAATAAAACCCATCCTCTTAACAATATTCATATACAATATTTTGTAAAAATAAAATGAAATTTGGCTAATAAGAGACAAACAACTTTTTACCTTTTTTTTTTTTTTACTCTTCATTATTTCTCAGTGATAATAAAAAAAAATGATAAAACGACATTCCACACAACTATCGCTACAATTTATTATTATACTATTTATTTGTATACAAAAGAACACTGAATAGGCCTAATAATAGGGTTAGAACTCTGAGAAGGGGGAAAATTGAATCGTTGTTGATACGTGCCATTATTTCTTCCTTCACCCCCTATTCTTATTTTTATATTAATCTTTATCTTTACAATGCTTTTTAAAAAGATTTTTTTAAAATATATTTTGAAACATACAATCTTAAATGCATTTTCAGAAAGATTTTTTTTTAAATATATTCTGAACACTAAATCTATAGTATGTTTTAAAAAAAAAATTATAAACACCCAATTTAGAATTCACTAGGTCAATTTGGATTATATTCCAAATTTTACGTTACTAAATATATTTTTGGATTAGTTTTTTTTAAATACATTTTGAAATACTCAATATAAAATATATTTTCAGATTAATTTTTTCACAATATTCAATATGAAATGTATTTTTGAATTAATTTTTTTAAAATTTATTTTCATTTTTACGACACTGTTGCAGAATAATTTAGGTTTATTTGTAGGAATGCATGAACATTTTATCTATACATAATATTAATGATTACTCATCTTTAATTATTAAAAAAATCTTTAATAGAGATGATAACATAAAAAATTAAATAATTAAAGGATGGAGGTGGAGCAGTTGTATAGAAATAGAAGAAAAAAAGTTAAAATAATAAAAAATTATGAAAATGGTATTTTAGATATTTGATTTGGGTTATAGAGGTGTAGGGAGAAATTATGGGAGTGAAAAGTAAGAGTCAAACTGAAGGCCTTAGAGGCCCAAAAATATACTTAAAAAGCCCAATTTAAGAACACAGTGTTTGAAATCATAAATGAAATGGGACTAAAAATTAATAAACTCTCGTCTAACGAAATTGATGAAGATGAACAAGTTGAAGACTTCTTCTGAACGTGTTTAATACTACTTCGAGTTATAGAATATTTCAAAGGAATCTGTTCCGAATGATTATGTCTTTGAATGATTCAAGGTCGATACATGAATTGGGATTATTTCAATACACAAAAAAACATCATTTTTTTTTTATGTGAAGGTGAAACATTTTCCATGTTAATTTTCTTCACACAATTTTACTAACTATAGTGAAAATTATATTAATAATGTAAGTAATGACAATAAGAGTGGCTACTATAGTTACTATGATAACTAATGAGATGGTAATAATAAAAATATTAACAAAAATGTTAATTTTCATAACAATAGTAAAGATAAAAATCATCATAATAATTATGATAAAAACAAAAATTAATAAATAATATCAATAATATATAATAAATTAAAAAAAAATGTCAAGCAGCTTAAATACTTTATACTTTTTTGTTTTTAACAATTTAAGACTATGGGTGAGAATTAAAAAAGGCATTTTAGAATGGTTGGAATTTTTGAAATGTTACAGTTATAGAGATGGCTCTAGGTTGCACTACATATTAAATATTTCACATTGCTAAATGTTAGTTTCGATCTATATTAATGGATAAATAATTCTAATATTTTTAATTGAAAAATAAATTTAATAACTTATATTAAGTTTAACAATGATTTATGTTCATAAAAAATCTTGACTTACTATAAATAAAAATAGCTCTATTAATATTAGTGGAAAAAACTTGAATTAATATTGATTGAGAAATAATCTTAAACTACGTTTGTTTCAATTCACGTTAGAAAAAATAATTTTAATTAACTTTAGTTAAAACAAAATTTATTAAAGTCAATGAAAAAAGTTTGTTGACGTGTTAATAAAAAAATATCTTAATTAATGTTAGTTGAATAATATACTTATCATAAAAAATGGAATATTAACATCGACAATAAAAAGTAATAGACTTAGTCAAACTAATAACACTCAAACTTTAACTAAGATATTCAGTTTCGGATCGAAATGAAATGAAGTTAATATCATCCTAACCCAACTCAATTTAAAGAAAAAAAATAAGAAGAGGAAAAACATATATATATTTAAGAGAGAAGTTAGAATTTTAATTTGTAGGTAGATTTCAAAATTATTTAATATTAAATAATTAAAGTATTTTCATAAATTCTTAAAAGTTTAAGTTACTCTAACTCGTACAAATAACATATTTCATTATAAATTGTTTATTTTTTTATATAAAATTTAATTGTCTTCTGAAATTTTATCATCCAAACATTATTAAGGTTTTGTGCTAAACTAACCAAATTTCATCGCTAAAATTAGATTAATAATTATTCTTGTTCAAAGATCTAATTGGATAATTTAACACATAAACCAAATCCAGCATAATTAAAATAAACTCATTTTTTTTAAGTTAAATAGGATTAATTATAAAATAGGGGAAGGATCACGGGAAATTAAACAAAAAAGGAAAATTTTAAAAAATATTTCAATACAAAAAAGGTACAGTAGAATAGTACAAGTTAAATTAATCTAATAAATGAAAACATGAATGTACATAGAGTATAAAAGATGTTTCTCCACCTACAAAATTTTATTAATGTTTATTTTTCTATCACATTATTTTATAATTTTTTTTATATTAACTTCTGTGGTCATTAGATTCCTAATCCAATCCTTCAATGATTGTATTGTAAGGTGTATATTCATGGTTACATGATTTGAATTCCTACCATAATATTCAGCAGCAACAACAAGCGGGGACACGGTGCGTGAGTTGGAAGTTGTAACATGACATCCTTCTTTTCCTTCTATTCCGTACTCCACCAATCACACTCTTACCAACAATTTCCAAACCATTCAACAGGAATGTGTCAATCAGACACTCCTACAATTTCTTAAATATGTTTTTCTTTTTCTCTCTTCCATGTCCACCTCATTAATTAATACACCATAAGTCAAATTTATGCTTCATTATCAACAATAATAATATTATATTACATAAATCATAATAATTCTATCATTTGTATTATCTATATTACACATAAAGAGATTGTTTTAATATTTTTTATAGGAAAAATATTATATATAAAATATGTAAAAAAATAACATAATTTTTTTTATATATTTAAGAAAAAAAAAGAACGTATAACATATATAAAAAGTAATTAAAAATATGTTCTATATTAAGAAATAAAATAAAATTACAAAATAATTATTTTAAAAGATTAATACTATAAAAATATAAACATACAAATATTTAATTATTTATATATTTATCATTATAATTTAATTTTTATTTAATAGACTACGTAACTGATATATAATAATTGTTTAATCATAAATTATTATTCAAATTATTAAATTTTTTAAATATTTTATTCAAAACATATTTACAATTATTTATTTAGATAGGTGCATTTCTTTTATTCAAGTGAAAATAAATTAAATCTTTATAATAATTTCTTTTAGATGCATTTAATTTATCTGAACTCAAGCAGTGTCCAGCAGCTAAAATGGAAACAAATCTATTATTTGTAATTTATAATTTATTATAACATTAATAGAAGAAACATTCCTTCTTACTTTATTCTTTTAAACGTTCTTATTATTTAATACAATAATTAAAAAATAATAATGATCACATATTCAGCAAATTCTAGTCCAAAAATAAATAAATAAATTTATAATTGGACAAAGACAACGTTGTTGTCAATTTAAAGTATATATAAAATCTGAGTTCCTAACATATAGCTGAATTAAATATCATTAATTGATTGTTTAAGGCCCAAATTATTATTAGATAACAAACACATAAACATGGGAGATACTATACTCCTACTAAATTTTGTCTTATATTATAACACAATTTATTAATTATTTTTTAAAAATAATAAAATAAAACCTGTCAAATAAAATATGAAACTTATATTTTTTAATAAATTTTAACCATAAATAAATTTGTATTCAAAAGAATAAATTATAAGGTAAGATCTCAATATATAAAAATGGTAATAATAACGCGTTTTTAACAGATTAATCTCAAAATTTACATCAATGGTAAATTGATATTCAAATAATACTGTTTGAGATCAAATGGACTTTGATTGTTTGAGAAATTATTTAAAATTGAATATTTCTTCATTTTCAAATAAAATGCAAGAGGGAAGGGAAGACAAGACACGGACGCACGCAACAGTACCACTCTATCTTTCTCTTTCCCTATTCAAAGCACGATCCAAGTTAGGGTGGGCCCCACAATGAACCACATACCCCACACTCCACTCCTGGGCCCCACCACAACTTCTTCATTCACTTCTTCTCTTCCTTACTTCGTTTCCAGTTTCCGAAACCGCTACCTCATTCACTCACCACCGTCTTCTCTTCTCCTCGCACGATGGCGTCGAACCGGAACGGCGTCCAAAGAGGGAGCGCCAAGTTTGATCGCCCTCTCAAGCCCCGCCTTCGCCCCTCCTCCCCCTCGCCTGGATCCGCCCTTCGCCGCCCCACCCCCACTGCAAGAAACACTGACGCCGGTCAGTCCCTCTCCAAACCCTAGCCTCTCACAAACACAAAGAGATTGTGTATTTGCATTTGTGAATGTGGATGTGGTACTGTGGTAGGTGGAGAGAGTGTAATGAAGCTCTAACTAACTCGTAACCACGATTAGGTTGCAATAATGGAGCTCGCTCCTTCGCTATTTGTGGATGATTATGATTATGACTTTTCGTATGACCTACAATTATGAGAGTTCGTCTCGTCGGAGAGAGATTGCTTATGATGCGCCACGTTTTGTTCATATTTATATGAACACTCATTGCTTGTTGCTTCAGTGTTAAATTTTCTGGTATTCAACGTGTGGAATATGTGTTTTTTGGAAATTTAAACTGTTCAATGTTTAGATGAATTAGAAGAAAGCTTGGGATGTAGTAGGACCAATTTAGATGTTTCGCTCTGGAGCGTGGATATTGTTTAGTTAATTTTCCGCTTTGCTTGTATGATAGATCTGAAGTTTGGATATGCTGTATCGTTAGAGCTGGGGGTGAAGATGTGAGTGCAGGATTTGTATTGTCCGTGGAACTGTCTAATAGCTTTTATTGGTGAGTTTTGTGTGCGTGCGAAAGGGGTTTAAAGGAGTAGTATAAAGTATTTGTTCTTTTAGGTTTTCATTTTATAATAACCTGTTTGTTTGGTTTGGGTGCTTCTTCTTTCGTCTTTTGAGGTGATTGATTCCGGCTTATGAGCTTGTGTGGTTGTTCTGGTCTTTACTTGCCCCAGTTTTCGTTGCTGTCTTGTGTGCTTTGTTGCCTTTGAGGATAATGAATCGTCCTCCCATTGCTTATCTCCTAATGTATTACATTATGTTGTAGAAGATTTTTTAAGTAGATTCTCTACTCTATTTGTCAAAATTTTCTGTTACATTTTTTTAATTCTTATGGTGAGATGTGGTGATATAGGATGCTTATGGCTGAAACCTTTGTATTAGAATGGAGAACAGGTGTGGTCTAATTCAATCTCAAAAGTTAGTTATTTGGGGGTAGGGGTGGATGGTCCCAGTAATTATAAGGAAAACATGGGTCTGAATGTCACAATCCCAATGAATTAAAAATCCTAATATCCAGGCCCAGAATTCCAACGTATTGGAAATCCTAATATCCAACCCGGATACATAGGTCATATTTTCATTTAATGGAAGGCTAGTCTCAAAGTAGCATCTCATATGTAGAGCACATAATAAATGGAAAACATATATACTTAATCTTGTGATCATGTTCAGCTCTTCTGGAACTTGCTGCTATAGTGAAGAGGAAAATCCGCTCCTTAAAGCCCGTTTGATATTGGTTGACAGCCTATACTTCATAGGGTTTCCATGTTCCATAAGAATATGATATGAGTCTGACTGACTGAAGCTCCTGTTTTGATCTTTTGGAAGAAAAGAGCACTCACTCTGTTCGTGCTTTGGGAGAGGATCAACTGGGTTTGGGTACCACTTGATGTAGAGGAGAAACCACTCATAAAATCCAGGAAAATAGAACAAGTCAGGATAGACCCTTTACTTTAAATGGTGGTTCCTCATTTAAAACCTAAACTACTTGGGGCTCAAACTTGCTATAGTATTATTTTCCATGTATTGCAATGTGGGAGATGAATATTGGGTTGGAGAAGATTTTTGGTATTAACAACTGTGAAAAGGCTAAAGAACAGCTCATTGTATGAGGAAGGTGTATGGTTTAAGGGGCCCTTTATGGCCACCAGTAATTCTTGAATTCTAGATAAGGTCTAGAAGTTTAGTTTCCTAGCAGCATATTATACTATTACTTTTTTATTTTTGAGTGAAAGCCAATGCTTGTAATCAAAATGGTTGTTAAAATATTTCTCTTTATTTTTCTATCTGTTATAGTGCTATTTCTAGATACACTTGTCATGCTATCATTTTTTTGTACAGTGCCTGGAAGAGTTAGAGTGGCTGTTAGATTGAGACCACGAAATGCCGAAGAAATGATGGCGGATGCAGATTTTGCTGACTGTGTTGAATTACAACCAGAGGTACATTCATTCTATTTGATTAATTATTTTTTGTAGATGTTAGGTTTTGCTTTGCTTTATAGATACACGACTTGGATTGTCTTATGCACGAATTTTGTTAATGTAAGCCTTTTATGTTTTTACTGTCCTTCAGCTTAAAAGACTGAAACTTCGTAGAAACAACTGGGATTCAGACACGTATGAGTTTGATGAGGTGCTTACTGAATTTGCATCACAGAAACGTGTCTATGAAGTTGTGGCTAAACCAGTTGTGGAGGTCTGTTGTACTGGTGCATATCCTAATTGTTCGTGAACATCCTTTACTAAGATATCCCTGTCTAATTCTGCTTTATATTAGTGATATTACGATTTGTCATTCCTTGGTTTAATATTTAATGAATTCTATCCATTGCCATTTTTCTTCAATATTCTATATCTTAACACGTTTTGATGTTTGGTTTGTAGAGTGTTCTTGATGGTTATAATGGAACTGTCATGGCTTATGGTCAAACTGGAACTGGGAAAACTTTTACACTTGGACGACTGGGGGAAGTAGATGCTTCTGATCGTGGTATCATGGTCCGTTCCATGGAGGATATTTTTGCTGATTTGTCACCCAATACTGATTCTGTCACAGTCTCGTATCTCCAGGTTGATACTTAAATGTGCATTACTGCTTTTTGCATCATATTAGTTTTATCTTCTAGTGTCCATTATGGTTGGCCTTATTTTGTTTGATCGTCAAAGTGTTTTTTGTTTTGTATTACAACCATTCTAGGCCGTTTTTCTCATATTTTGTCTACAAAAATTGTGTAGCTTTATATGGAGACTCTACAGGACTTGCTTAATCCAGCAAATGATAACATTCCTATAGTGGAAGATCCAAGAAGTGGGGATGTATCTATGCCTGGGGCAACTCTTGTAGAAATCACAGATCAACATAGTTTTTTGGAGTTGTTAAGAGTAGGGGAAGCAAATCGAATTGCTGCTAACACAAAATTGAACACTGAGTCATCTCGCAGTCATGCTATTCTGATGGTGCAAGAATATTCCTCCTTTGGATTACCTTTTTTTTATCCTTATCTTTTATTCCCAGTCACAAATCAAGAAAACCAGTTGTTCACTGTTTTTTGTTTCTTAAAAATAACATCCAATCTTTATAAATTTATGGTTTCTTACATAGGTTCATATTAAGAGGTCTGTCTTGGAAAGTGAAGATATTGTTTCTAGTCAAAATGGCGACGTCTCTCATTTGACTAAACCATCAAAGCCACTTGTTCGGAAGAGCAAGTTGGTTGTGGTAGACTTGGCAGGTTCAGAACGGGTCCATAAGTCAGGTGTGTGCCAAACATAGAACTTGTGTATATGTGTAAATATGGATGCCATAATTTAATTGTTTTTTGAAATTGTCTGAGAGTGGCTTCTCCATAAAGCATTTGTTGTATGTGCGTGCATGCAGGAGAATAGGAGGAAAAGTCATTGAAATGCGCAGGAAGAAAAAACTATGAATGAGTAGGAAAATTGGTCAAAAAATGATGCAGATGAGTGAGAAAGAAAAAGGGGGCAGGAAAGAATAGTTCAAGTTAGTGGGGGAAAAATGTAAATAAGTGGGATTAATGATGAAAATGAGTGAAAACAATTCAGTCAATTGGACATGCTAAAATGGCTAAAAAATAATTGAAATAAACAGGACAGATGAATGGGAAATCAAATCATACAAATGGGTTGGGAAATGTGTGCGAAAATGTTTTGTTTGATTAAATTTCACTTAATATATATGTCTATATATATATATATAAATAAATAATGAAATATTTATAAATGGCATTATGTAATGTTATTATAATAAAAAATATGTATATAAATGTATTATTATAGCACATGCCTTCATATTGATTTAAGTATAATAATAATATGTGATCTTTTTGAGAAGGAACAGTTGCTTCTGCCAGCAACTTCAATTAGAATAGAATTTAGATATATTAGAAAAGTGTCACCTTATTTTCATTTTATTTTGATATCAACATTTTTCTTGAGGAAAAGTTGGAAGTGACCCTTGGTACTATATTTTTTGTTGTTTTTAAGATTTTGTGAAGGAATGTTTTATATATTTCCTTCACAAAACCTTGAAAATTAGAAAAAATGGAACAATGTGGTATTCTTGTAATTATTGTTAAAAGCGTATTAATTAAAAATAAAAATTTGTAATAAAACCAATTACCCTTTAAGGGTCCTCTGTTTACACAGAGAAAGTGTTTTTGTTTATAATTTTTGTTTTCACTTTTAATTATGCAAGTGTCTTGTTTTTTTTTTTTTTTTTTTTTTCCTGTTTTCAAATATCTGTGTAGCTGATAGTGAAAATAACTTTCTATTGCTTTTACTGTTTCATTTACAGATATTTGAAAGTAGGAAATAATGAAAATAAAATGCCATTTTTTAACTGAAAAGGAAACTGCAAATAAAAAAAAAACATTTTCTCTAACCAATCAAGCTCCAATATCCCTGTGTCCTTTGAAATCTGTATGTTCATTAGGTGACAGTCCTTGCCTTAACCTCAATGATTTGGTAGCTTCTGTTATTATGTTGTTATGTACTGAAACTTTTGCATTTTTACCCTGTTTCCCCACCAGGGAGTGAAGGGCACATGCTAGAGGAAGCTAAATCTATCAATCTTTCACTTAGTTCACTGGGAAAATGTATTAATGCTCTAGCAGAGAACAATGCTCATGTTCCATTTCGTGATTCGAAGCTTACAAGGATGCTTCGAGATTCTTTTGGTGGTAAGA